AAGCATTTAACAAAAGACAGAACTCCATTAATCATAGGTTCTCACAAACTGACTGGATGAGGTCATTGTGTAATAAGCACACTCGTCATTCAACAGTCGTTTCAAGATCAAGGTCAGGAAGTACAAGAATACATCTTGGTTACCAAGTGGTGTTGGCTTCTCCACAGAACCTTGGGAATTGATTATTCACTTGATCGTGGTGATAGTGACTTTTCCACCACACCAGTGTGTGGTATCGCCTTGTAGCAAGAGTTTGAATCCATTCGAATATTCTCCCGTGTCTGTTTAGTTGCTCCTGCTTCCTCTCACAGCCCAATGACATGTTAGGCGATTCTAAATTGGCCGTTGGTGTGAATGGTTGGCTATATGTCTGTGTTAGCCTTCAGATAGACTGGCAACCTGTTCAGCGTGCACCACACACCTTTGCCCTTTGCTAGTTTGAATAGACCAAAATCTAACTGTGACCCTGAATTATATTGGAAGAAGAGGATGGATGAAGGTGAACTTTACAGGCTCAAAGTTATTATGTTGGTTTTACTGTTATTCAGTTCTTGGATGATGTTTTTATGCTGGTATGCAGACCCAGTTACACATACGCGTACAAGGACACACAGCACTAAATATGTAGTGCTATGTGTCCTGGAAAAATTCAACCTTTGTAGCACTTTTATAAACCAATAGTGTTTAGATGCACATCCATCACCATGTCCTGCCATGAATACCATGATTTGTGCATGATATATGTTAGGGACAGCTATCGCAACCACTTAGCTAACAATTGGTGCTTTTTTCCCTTCTAGAACAAAACCCAAAGTTTTTACTTTCTCAATGATTATCTGCTTGTCATTTAACAGATTTTATTAGGTGATTAATGTAACTTTAACTTCAAAAAAATACTGTCTTTGGCCTACTTTTCAACATTTCCATCTGACTCATTTTAAGATAAGGTTCTGGTAAATGAGATCATTAATATGCATGGTAGGCTACATAATTATACCATGCTAAAATGCTGAGACTAAAGCTGCATGCCTCAAGAAAACAGTCACAATCCTCAGCTGATGACCCTTGAGGAAGAATAATGAAACAAAATTATTACTGCATCAGAAAATAACCCTATTTTGATCTTTAAGTTACAGTTAGAGGCCATCACAATTTAAGTGATAGATCTTATAAGCAAGAACGAAAGCACAACCTGGTTGAACTAACCATTCATGTTCCAAGTCAAAGCTACTGTTCGGATTTCAGGTGAGCCAGCAGAGCTCTTGACTTCTATAATTTTACTGTCATTGATATATGATATGATGTAAATAAAAGAGTATAAAGATTCAACATTTGCATGTGGCTGAAAGTCAATATTACATATAGTTCAACATACTGCTCTTGCTCATTTAAACACAACACTTTACTACACTTCCTGCATACCTCAGCACCTCCAAAAGCTTTCTTGCCATTTTCCCAAGTCAGATATTCTCAGAGGAGCTTCCCTGCTGAGACACAGCCACACTTTAAAGCTTCATACCAGAACTGAAGACTATAGCAACTTTTGACATCTCTGTGACACATCTGTAAATATTCACTATTTCCAGAAGAGGCTGGCAAGTTTCCACATGCTTGACATTCTATGTCCATCATGAATTTCCTCTGAAACAATGCTTCCCAGACTTCATAGGTCAACTATCAGCCTTGGATACAAACAGGATCCCAAATATGGGTCACAGCTTTCTTTTTCTATTCTTTTCTACAACAAATGTTTTCACGCATAAGGATTTCAAATGGGAACTATCATTTTACATGTCTCGTATGTTTACTGACTTCAGTAAATTAGCTAAATTTTGCATATCTATTAAAACACTTAAACAATATTAGAATAAATCATTCGTTTTGGTGTCACAAACCATGAGTGCATGAATTTGAGGATTTGGGCAGGTTTGAGCTGAAAAGTAGCTCTAGCTTGTAGCTTGGATATAAGCAACCGTGTGTCATGATTAGTGTGGAGAATGACTTCCTACCTGGTGTAATTTCTTACTTTTTGTGAAAAGGTTAGCTTGAACCCTTTAGCATTTAGCTAACAGTCATTATTTCTTAGCACTTATCTATAAGTTGACATTCTGTCACTGTCCTTATTTATTATTACTTGGAATCTCCTGCTCACCTTCCCCACTTTATATATAAAGTAATTTAGTTTTCTAGGTTTGTAGTATTTGCAGAATTCCCAACACGTTAGGTAACATTACATCCCATCCCATCTTTTATCAGTTTGGTTCCGACTTAAAAGTGCAAACAGGCCAAAAGTATTTCCTCTTTCTCGCCAATCCTGACAGCTATACCCAAATAAGGAAGGAGGAAAAGAAGTACATCTGAGCCTGAAATATGAAAATAGACAAAACTGAGCAGCCATAATACTCTAAGATGACTTCAGATTATAACATCGGGCTCATCTCTGCCAAGCGCTGCCTCGCTGTAAATGATTCAGTTGTTCCCAGCAGCAAGGAGTTCTGCAGTGTTTCCACATTAGGAGCTAATCCTTTTGAAGATGAAATACCTTCTGAATGTATCTCTCACTTGGCTACAGCACAGTGCCAACAAGGATCAAATAGACTGCTTTGTTCTCAAGTAATAAGTCATTGAGGGGATATGCCAGAATATGTATGATCACATTAATTGCGTGGCTGCTAAAGTAAAAGTACTTCCCTCTATTATCTCAACATGCCACAGTACTGAGCAGTCAACAGTTCTAATAGTGGTTTCCCTCTGTCTGGCCAAAGAGGCCCTTCTATCACCGCTCAGCAGCCACGGGGCACCGCCGGCATAATAGCAATCTCATTCACCACCACCCAGAGCTCAGCTGGCAACCCAAACAGGCTTTCCATCATGACTAGGACACGGCACAAGAAGATATTTAAATGGAGTGGACAATTAAGATGGATCAGGGTGTCTCAGAAAGTATTGGGCTAAAACAAATATGCAAGGGGGTGCGTTTGTAATAACAATGAGAGAAGGGTTGCATTGCTAATTTGTTTTGACAGGGAAATGACTAACAAAAAAAAATATGTGCAACATTACATTTAGATATTATATACTGTAGTTCTTTAAAATGCTTCAACAGTAATTCTGTATAAATAACAGAAAAATACATTTCTGATTGGCTTGTAAATGAAATGCTATTGCTGCGTTTTTTCTTTCATTTTTTTTCCAAAATGCAAACTTTCAATTTAAAATAGATGACTGCAGAGAATTTACCACTATACCACAGACATGTTGGTTTTCAGGAGGCAGAAGTGACCCTCTCTGGATGAGACCTTGGTTAGCAGACTGGATCTGTAGTATGTTAGGAGGCAAGGCACAGACATACATATTTGCTACAGTGCTGCATAACAGAATAAATAATGTAAGGTTTCCACTTGGCAAAACTGAAGAAAAAAACTTTCTTGATGGTGTTAATGTCACAGCAAATCGTGTTATTTGTTAAACTGTCAAACGATTCCCCAGAAGACACCAACACCACAAACCCAATGATGCGGTCCAGTTCAGAGACTCATATGACTCAAGCAGAGGTGGGTGAGTGGATCCAAATATCGATAGTAGCAAAACCAATGCTGGTAATGGATTTTTTCCTAGAAAAGAGCAATATTCTTTAAACATGCACTAAAAAATGTCTGAAGCTTTTTGTGTTGACTGTCATATCACATATTCATATTTAGCCTATAGAACATTTAAACAATAGAAGTTGACCCAAACTGCTTTAGAGACAGACACATTTCCCAAAACCTGGTTTTAAAATACATAAAAAGCTGAAAGGTGTGTTTTGTTGTGTTAACTAATTATTGTGGAAAGTAAAAAGTCATAGTGATTTAGTGCTCATTAAAAAGTGTTCAGAATTTCTAAATTCATCTCATTAATCATTACATACTGCTCTCTCCTACATGAACTGCCTTTAGACACTATCCGTAGAGAGCATGCTTTTCTCTGTGCCAGCCTGTAAACATATTTTTAATGCTGCTAAACTTGGGCATTTTAACAAGAGAGTCCATGGAGAGCCCTGTTTGGAGCCAGCCTCCAGTTGCCACTCCAGGAACTGCAGTTTCTGGCACTTCCATGTTGTTTTTTATTTTTCTGCCCCAGTGGTTGCTACTTGATAATAAACTTAGGATTACATTTACTTTGGTATAAAATAAATGTCATGTAAGTCATGCAAATATTGCAAAATTTGTATTTTTGTCTATAATTTAAGGTGTCTGCTTTGGACTATTCTGTCAGTTATTTTAATAAATACTGCATTTATTTGATTTAGTGTTCACTTGGAGAACAGGAGATTTCGAGGGATGTTTTGGCAAGTATTGTATGAAGAATAGAACATTTTATTCTTGACTATCTAATAGATTGAGTTAGCCAACTAAAAGCTTCATTTGAACATTTTAACTATAACACAGGTTCTCATCAGTGGATTGAGCTTTGATCGATTTCAGAATATTAAATTTCAAAGTGACTTTTGGGCAAAGACAGATGAGAAGCCCTGTTCATTTCTCAATCAAAGTAGCAATTAATACAAAGAAGAAATGCTGCTGAGAATGTCGCCTTCTTACTTTTGAATGAAACTAAGAGATCATTTCAGATATTCCTATAGGTACAAAAACCAGAAGAATGTGAAGAATATTACACATTTTTGATCCAATCACTCTCACGGAAGAAAAAAAAGTAATCTAAACCTTCCTAAGTTCCTAAACACATTATGATGGTATAATAATAAATATCAGCTTTGCAGACTGACAGGACTTTAGAGAATTTATTGAGGGCATAGTTCATATTCAATTAAGAAATGAGTATGTAGCCAGTATGGTGGAATAAATAAGTCTAGTACACACTAGTTCGTACAAAGCCAGATCATTGGAATTAGAAGAGATAATAAGGACTAAGTGATGAATATGAGTCACTCAAGCTGCACTGTGAACGGAGGCGTGAAGCCAACTGTAGCATGCAGGCAGCAGTACTCTCCGCTCTGCCAGCACTGGGAAAGGGGAGGATTCAGAGATCCGCAGCTCATGACCGCCTTCAGTGTGTGTAGCCTGATTTTTGTGGCGTTACCGATAGCCTTAAACACCTCCAGCAGCATCACTCTGCTGTGGACGGTCGCTGAGGAAGCATCGATTATTCGGCGTCGTTTCTGGTCAGGATTGTCCTGCAGTGACCACCGACTGACTGCTGGACTGCAGCGAGCATTTGAACCCCCACCAGTGGTGCCCAGCGTACCCCGAGAGCTCAGACATGCCATCTGTGTCGACTGGAAACGTTGCGGTGTGCTCCGAAATTCGCTTTACTACTTGAGGGAATCAAAGTTGGTGCAATGGAGACTTCCGGGAGTGATGCGGCGGACGCGTACTTAAGAAAAGCCGAAGACAGAGAATACGATCTTGAGCATCTGCCTCCACTGCTGGAGGATGAGGTGAGAGGGAGCGGGGTTTTTAAAAGGAAGAAGTTATAACTAAACATTGGCGTTTGTTTGTTTTAAAAAGATACCGGTGTCGATTGCTTGGAGCATCCAAATGATATGAAACAGCCTCTTTTTGTGTTTCCTAGAAAGCTGCTGGTTGAAATTCTTAATCCTCTTAGTGGTTAAAGTCAGCCAGAGAAACGTTCTTAGGGCCTTAACATTTACGATGATTTAAGACAAACAAGGGATCGGAATCGACTTGCTCACTGTTTAAATGCGAGTAAAAGTCAAAATGTTCTCCAGAAATAATTTTAATACCTAGACTTAAAAGGTTTCAGGTTTTATCTGCAAAACAGTCTAGTATATTTAGAGTAACCCATTTCCTGCCAGGGTAGCAGAAAATACATCTGGAAGAGAATGGGTGGAGAAGGGTTTGGTGTTGTGGACGGAATTTAATATACTTGTTGACTTTTTTTTTTCTTTTTCGGACACACTGGGTTATGTTGCATATCTGACATATCTGTTTAAGGTAATCTCTCTGCTCTATGGTGTGGAAGATAAAAAACAACTTTTGGAAATTCACATTAAACCAAATTCTCAATACTTTATATAATGGTACAAGACAGCCTTCCTAAAGAGTGCTTCCAAAGAGCTCCCATTGGGAATGATAGGGGATGCCCACCTTATGTGTAAAATAAAATAGGGTTCCAAATTTAAACCATCAGCAGTCTTTAGTGTTTCTTTGTTAAATTGAATAATCTTTTTGTATTTTATTTATTTTTTAAACAGAGTTTCAAATGATGCATGATGAAGGAATACCGTGTTCTGAGGATTTTGTTTGTTGCTGTTATGAGCACTTCTTCAAGTGCCAGAATTGAAAATTGTCCTCCTCTCCCTCTGTGTGCATCTTTACACCATAATACAGGAGAACAAGCCCTCTCTTTTGCCTTTCCTCCCATTACTGCAGTGCAAAGACATGCACCACACCAAGAGCCTCACCAGAACCTTGAAACTCAGAGGCAAACTTATATAGGACAGCACATTTAACTTGAGGGGGGTGAGAGAAACTAACGTTCCCCTGCACTGTTCTCAAGGGAAACTGTCTATTTATGGGGCGGCGGCTGCTGCTGCTGCTGCTGCTTGAAGTGGGACTTTTCTGCCCTGTAATTTGGCTCTACCCCACTCGATCACATCAGTATGCTTTGTTCGCAATCTGTTGCAACTCTGCTGCACCTACAAGACAGTCGTAAATCAAAACAGATAGGCCCTTCTTGTGCAATCAAAGATAAAGCAGTGATTGTCAGTGAGAGCAGAGCTGTAGATTATCAGAGAACAGAAGCGTTAAGACCTTCGGAGTTAGAGAAAAATGAAGCTGCTGTGATATAAATACTGTCATGAAAGAAGAAAAAAAATCGTCCATGGTTGGTAAAGTGCTAGATATAGTGTGACAATCACTTCTTTATGACACCGCCTCCACGCACACACACGCACTCGTTCTCCACTTCCACTCTTCTGCCTGAGTTAAGGCCAGCTTTTGTGTCCACTTGCAAACTGTAGAGAAGTTCCTGTAATAATCAGACCGCAGCATTATGCTTAATGCTTCATGGAATCTGTGAGATCACTGCGTCTGCTGGGGTAAATGGGGCCAGTGGAACACAGACGATGCAGTGTGTTGCTACAGGTCTGTAGATTCACTCCATGGAATTAAGCGTGCAGGATGCTATATTATATGGGGCGATCGTGGCTCAAGAGTTGGGAGTTCGCCTTGTAATCGGAAGGTTGCCGGTTCGAGCCCCGGCTTGGACAGTCTCGGTCGTTGTGTCCTTGGGCAAGACACTTCACCCGTTGCCTACTGGTGGTGGTCAGAGGGCCCGGTGGCGCCAGTGTCCGGCAGCCTCGCCTCTGTCAGTGCGCCCCAGGGTGGCTGTGGCTACATTGTAGCTTGCCATCACCAGTGTGTGAATGGGTGGATTACAGGTTGTGTAAAGCGCTTTGGGGTCCTTAGGGACTAGAAAAGCGCTATACAAATACAGGCCATTTACCATACCAGATATTTTCAGCTGTTAGCGCTAATGAATGAATGAATGAAGGCAAACATATCTTGTAAAGCCTTCAACTTTAGATTATGTAGCGTCTTAGTTACAGTCATTTGTAAGTTTGAGTTATCTTTTTCAGTGTTAATCAAGGCATGAGTCAGTTTCCAAGTAAAGACCCGTAGGGGCATATAAACACTGAACATGTTTACGTGGCAAAGATTTAGTTCCTCATAAAAATGAGACTTATATTGTAATTATTACAATGAGTGTCAGAGTGTCCGTTTTTATTACAGTCAAAGTCAAATGTAGTCAACGTTTGTGACGGTGAAGTCAAGCCTGGAAGCATTTTTGTGGCTAACAAGCTGTGCCAGGCTCCTGCAGATACATCCTGAGACAGAGACCGGACACTCAAAGAATCAAACTGAATTTCTCAGAGACATCTGCAACAGGAAACCCTTTTTAAAAATCTTTATTACTGGGGTAAAGTCAGCAAACTTTTTAAAAGTAATCCTTTAAATGCTTAAACTAACAGAAAACAATGCCTCACAAGATGTCAGCTGAATGGTAAGAAGACTGGTACCTACAGTACCAACAGGAAATGTGTCATTCTGGCTTAAAAGCTACTTTTCAATTCAACATCATGTTTTGGTTATTGCTCCTTAATGTTAATGCATCACTCTTACCTACATGAAGGACCTGTTGAGGTGGGAAAGTTCACATTGAATCTGAGTTTAAGATGTATAAGGTAACATCAAAGTTTGGAAGCCAGCCATGATCCATTATGAAGAGTTGCATATGCTCTGTATGTCCTAATGATGTCAAAGTAATCTTTAAAATAAGAGCACGAATCACCAGCCGACAAGCTGGACCTGTGAATCAAATTAATGTGGCTCCTAATATAGTCCAATTTTATTTAAATTTTGATTGGTTTTAAGTCTAGGGTTCCATTTCTATAAAACACACTCGTCAAGGTATACAGTGGGGCAAAAAAGTATTTAGTCAGCCACCGATTGTGCAAGTTCCCCCACTTAAAATGATGACAGAGGTCAGTAATTTGCACCAGAGGTACACTTCAACTGTGAGAGACAGAATGTGAAAAAAAAATCCATGAATCCACATGGTAGGATTTGTAAAGAATTTATTCGTAAATCAGGGTGGAAAATAAGTATTTGGTCAATAACAAAAATACAACTCAATACTTTGTAACATAACCTTTGTTGGCAATAACAGAGGTCAAACGTTTACTATAGGTCTTTACCAGGTTTGCACACACAGTAGCTGGTATTTTGGCCAATTCCTCCATGCAGATCTTCTCGAGAGCAGTGATGTTTTGGGGCTGTCGCCGAGCAACACGGACTTTCAACTCCCGCCACAGATTTTCTATGGGGTTGAGGTCTGGAGACTGGCTAGGCCACTCCAGGACTTTCAAATGCTTCTTACGGAGCCACTCCTTTGTTGCCGGGGCGGTGTGTTTTGGATTATTGTCATGTTGGAAGACCCAGCCTCGTTTCATCTTCAAAGTTCTCACTGATGGAAGGAGGTTTTGGCTCAAAATCTCACGATACATGGCCCCATTCATTCTGTCCTTAACACGGATCAGTCGTCCTGTCCCCTTGGCAGAAAAACAGCCCCATAGCATGATGTTTCCACCCCCATGCTTCACAGTAGGTATGGTGTTCTTGGGATGCAACTCAGTATTCTTCTTCCTCCAAACACGACGAGTTGAGTTTATACCAAAAAGTTCTACTTTGGTTTCATCTGACCACATGACATTCTCCCAATCCTCTGCTGTATCATCCATGTGCTCTCTGGCAAACTTCAGACGGGCCTGGACATGCACTGGCTTCAGCAGCGGAACACGTCTGGCACTGCGGGATTTGATTCCCTGCCGTTGTAGTGTGTTACTGACGGTGACCTTTGTTACTTTGGTCCCAGCTCTCTGCAGGTCATTCACCAGGTCCCCCCGTGTGGTTCTGGGATCTTTGCTCACCGTTCTCATGATCATTTTGACCCCACGGGATGAGATCTTGCGTGGAGCCCCAGATCGAGGGAGATTATCAGTGGTCTTGTATGTCTTCCATTTTCTGATGATTGCTCCCACAGTTGATTTTTTCACACCAAGCTGCTTGCCTATTGTAGATTCACTCTTCCCAGTCTGGTGCAGGTCTACAATACTTTTCCTGGTGTCCTTCGAAAGCTCTTTGGTCTTGGCCATGGCGGAGTTTGGAGTCTGACTGTTTGAGGCTGTGGACAGGTGTCTTTTATACAGATGATGAGTTCAAACAGGTGCCATTCATACAGGTAACGAGTGGGGGACAGAAAAGCTTCTTACAGAAGACGTTACAGGTCTGTGAGAGCCAGAGATTTTCCTTGTTTGAGGTGACCAAATACTTATTTTCCACCCTGATTTACGAATAAATTCTTTACAAATCCTACCATGTGAATTCATGGATTTTTTTTTCACATTCTGTCTCTCACAGTTGAAGTGTACCTCTGGTGCAAATTACTGACCTCTGTCATCATTTTAAGTGGGGGAACTTGCACAATCGGTGGCTGACTAAATACTTTTTTGCCCCACTGTATAATAAATTAAAGACTAATGTGTACAGAAAGTACAATAGAGACCATAAAAGAATGACAAGGGGTTGAATTTCAAAACCTGCCATGTCTCTGCTATACAAAGCCAAACATTGTGAAAGAAAATAAAATAATAAATGGCTGCTTTATGAGTCTCCTTTCTTTCCAAACGTCTGTGAAGCTTATTAGTCATCCAGGTCATTTGTCTTTTAGATGCAGATGGACCACCGAGTCTTGTCCCATGGAGGTGGCTCTTCTATGTTATGCCATACTTTTTTGAAGTGGCTGTTTGGTCTCTCCAATGTGGAGGTCTGGGCATTCCTCGCTGCACTGTACAGCATACACCACATCGTTAAGTTTCTGTTTAGGAGTTTTGTCTTTGGGATGAACCCGTTTCTGTCTGAGTGTGTTGCTGGGTCTGAAATATACTGGGATGTCGTGCTTGGAGAAGACTCTCCTGAGTTTTTCTGATACACTGGCTACATGGGCTTAAATCTGGGACTCTCCACCATTTGACCCTAGAACTGAAGAAGTCAAAGTCAAAGTCAAAGTCACCTTTATTGTCAATTCTGCCACATGTACAGGACATACAGAGAATAGAAACTACGTTACTCTCAATCCCTAGATAAAATAGCAAATGAACATTTAAATATAAGAGTGATTAAAAAATGCAGGTAAAATAATTAAAAAGTAAAAATTTAAATAAATAAAAGAAGCTTCTCAGATGAGAGGTGAAATGTCTTCAAGCAACTTAAAGAAGTCCAGACGCTTTGCTTTCCAAGCCCCTTAGACTTTCTTTCCAAACCTTTAAACAAAATGTTTTTTTTTTAAATAAGTATCATTTGCACCATATTTCATGTTCCAAAAATCATCTGTCATGAATTAAATAAGATTTAGATGCAAAAGCAAACATAATCTTTATGTGTTACTTACATTAATCGATCGATGGATCAGTTAATATATCATAATATCCTTAGGAAGTGTTGTGCACAACCACTGAGAAACTAAATACTAATACAGAACCATATTTTTTATACACCAGTTTAAAAATTACCATACACATTGGTCCTATAAATGCCATGCATTATCGAAATATCTGGTATATTGCATCTTTTATGCTGTCTCCTTTTGCATGCTTCTTCCACCATTCACCCCCAACCAGTTGCAGCAGATGGCTTCCCCTCCCCGTGCCTGGTTCTTCCTGTTAAAAGAGAGGTTTTCCGTCCCACTGTCTCCAAATTGTTTGCAAGAGATTGTGTGCATGTTGGCGTTTTTTTCCCCCCAATAATTTTAGTTATTTGATATTAAGATGACAGAAAGCTTCAAAAGAGACTGCAACATCCATCATTTGTAGCTTCATCTACAAATGTACCCTTCTCTATGAAGCCAGAATCACTCAGAGCAAAAAGTTCAAATTTTTGCAGCAGTGTGTTGATTTGCATTTTGCAGAGACCATAAAACAAAACCAAATCTGTCTCTGCTGTACTGTAAGTTGTATCCATGCTGTCCAACACCTTTTACCTTTTGCAATAACACTTTTCATTTGAACTGTAATGCTTCCTCTGCTGCTGTTGCCTCCACATGGCCGCTGTGCTATGATGCACATGAGTCACTTTCACTCCAGCATCAACCTGTTGGATCAAGGTCCTCAAGGGATTAGGTAGAACTTCAGTCTCTGCCGTCCCCTCTGTTCAGCAGGAAGTAATGAGGTCAGAGCTTTTAACGTCTACTTTGCACACTCTCTATTTACATTTTAATAAAGCCGTTTCACATGAGTTGGCTGACTGAAATGCAGTTGAGAGCAAGAGGCTGTTTGATGGTGCATTTAGGTGCTCATGAGGGGAAAAGGAAGATGTGAAAACCCTTCTTAAACTAGTTGAATCATTAAATTATAACTGAATGGATGTGCATTAATGTGGATCGCCAGGACTGACTTGGAAGCTCAGTTTTTTTCTGTCTATGCGGGTTCGGTGCCCGTTATTGAAGATAGCTGTTGCGTTTTGCCCTCTTGTGTCCCAAGCTACAAGCTAATAGGAAATGCGACCAAATGTTAAATAAAAAAAGGGCAAAGAGCTCTTTATTAATATTTGCCTTCACACACACTGTATTAAATGGGAGCATTGGAGCAAATAGTGTTCCTTCAAAGTGTTCATTGTTGAAGAAATTCTAAAGGCAAGCCCTTATCCCTAACCTTAACTACATATAAACAAATCAGGCTTCAACTGTGGATCTTATTTAGTGTACATACCCACAGTTGTGTGTATTTGTGCTTTGTCCACAGGAAAATGTTTCTCTGGCAGACATCCTTTCTTTGCAGGACAGTTGTCTGTCTGAGGAGGAGGTGTGGGCAGTGTGTGCAGAGTGTGTTCTGGCCCTGCAGAGCATCAGACCCTCCCACCTCTTCCACACACTGTGCATAACACCAGACACTTTGGCCTTCAACGCCCATGGGAATGTTTGCTTCATGGAGCAGCTCAGTGGTGAGTCTATAGCTCAGGCTTGTGTCCTGTGTTCCTTTTTTAGACATTAACCACCTTTGTATATGCTAATTACAGGCAGTTGTTATTGTTTCTGACTATTTTCAGGGCATTTTTCATATATATAGAATTTTACTTGTCACTTGTTAGTAAAGCTGAGTGCTGAAGCTCACACATGCTAAAGGGAGAAATCAGTTTTATACTTTGAATATAGCAGATCAGATCAGAGCTACAGATTGTGCCTAAATTGCAGCTCGAGCTTTTTTTTCTGACATACAGAGAACAGGCGCCTTTTTCCCCCCTTTAGTGATTTGTTGCCCTGATCTGTATCACTTTCAATTTGCAAATTTCTGCCTGAAAATACTCTGTTAGTGTCTCACTGGATGCGTCGCGCTTTGCCGAGGTCGGCAGGTCTGCCCTGATTTGCACAGACAACATCTTTTACCCCATCACAGGGCTGCAAGGCCCAGTGACATTAAATGAAAATACTCTGTGAGCAACTATTAAGCCTCACCTCTTCTATTCTTCTTGTCTCCTTTGCATCTCATCACATATATGAGCGCTTGCACTGCAGCGTGCACATACTCCGTCAGAAATTGATAAGCATTGATTAGATCAACAGGGTTGCCAGGGGGATTGTTGTTGTGGTAACAGCGTGGATAGCCTAGCAGCACTCGGCCCGCTCACACTCGCAAACACTTCACAGCCGCCGTGGCATCCGTTAAAGTGGTTGCATCCATTTTTAATTTCCACGCATCTCTTCAGTCAGTAATAGAGACGCTTTGAAGTGATGTCTTGATTACTCTGTCAGCTGAAATTCTTCGCAGTCTCGTTTGTTGCCATGCTTTATTGGATTGTGTTCAGTCCGTTGGCTATGATTCACACTGCGAGAAGAGAAAGAAACTGCAGTGCTCACATTACCCTTCTTGCGTTAGTTCTACTGAATAGAGTTCATCTATATCGTTCATCAGTGCACCGCATTCCCAGCTTTCCTTGCTGCACGGCTCCCTATTGATTCCTTTTAATTGAACTGTTTGTCAGATCGCAGTGCAATTTCAAGCAGACACATGGTGTATTGGTCAATCCCATGCCCACACACACAAACAAACGGGCTCTAACGCTGTATCACAGAGTGACCTTGAGGGGCTTTGATGATGGGTCTCAGTGGGAACAACAGTTGCAGCGACACTTTAATGCTGTTTATTTCAGATGATTTACTATTGCGGTAATATCAGGAAGGTAATTGGATGTCATGGTGGGTGTTTTGGCAGCGTTTGCATCGCCAGAGCAGAGACACGCTAACAAAATGTGCTCTAATGGTTTTTTTATACAGCGATGACCAAGAAAAGCCGCGATTTTTCCCACAAGGTTTCACATCGCAAGCTGTTCAGTTTGTGATGAAACGGTGCCGGCTGTGCGCTGTGGGAAATACGATCAGCACATTTGGAAAGCGTGATGAATCTCTGGTATTGCTTGGCTCATGCTACCTGTTGTGTTAAAATGCTGTAGGCATACATGACTCACCAAGCTCCCACCATCACCCTGGAGGCAACTGCGTCACTGACAACGGCTGTCTTTTTTTTTTTTTTTTGTTACTCGCCTTCATTGCCCATTTCACTGTGTTACAATATGTCCTGACTACAAAGAGTTTACATGTCTTGTCCTTTTTTCTTTTTTTCTTTTTTTTTGTTCCTGTCTGCCCTTTTATCTTTCATGTTTGATTGAAGATTGAGCTTTTTTGATATATATATATATATATATATATAACCCTAACCCTGCCTGGGGCGTCTGTATCCAGTAAGGGTCCTAAGGCTAGACCCCCTATGCTAAGCAAGCCTACTGCAGACATGAGCGAGACAGATAAATATGAAGGCATGCTGGCTCGGACGTCGCCCGGATCAACAAGGTCCGCGTCAGGTGTTGAGGAACCAGGGCACCCTGACGAAAAGTGGGCTACTGGAACAAGAAGGCATCGGTGGGCAAGAGACGAAAACAGGGCGTTGTTGGAATGCTACTACGCAAGTAACCCCGGCGGAAGGGGTTAGATGAATAGGATGAGGGACCTATGGATTCTTCGATACCCAACATCCACAATGACGGCGAAACAACTAGTAGCTCAGTGTTCCAACATTCGAAAGAAGGGACTGCTCTCACAGCTAGAGATTGACGAGGTACAACACAAATGCTACGGCAAGGAGGAGTCAGGACGCCAGGTCAGGGGGGCGATATCATCACCCCCACCCGAGATTGGGTACATAGCCCCAAGTGCGATAGGAGAAGGATCGTTGAGTGCGAGAGGAACTGACCTGAAAAATAGGATCATGGCCAAGCTTGAAACCTGGATCCCCCGTAGCCGGTTACCAAGATTACGTGAAGTACCCTCAGAAGGTCTGCTAGATGATGTTAATGCAGCACTACGGGCAATACCTACAACCACGATTACCGACACTAACAAGCTGATCTACAATACGGCAGCAGTGATCAGTGAGATGCTTGGCTACAAGTTGAACAGCGACAAGGGGCAGTACCCTCCATGGAGAAGGAGGCTAGAGGGCAAGATCAAAGTAGCACGGAGGGAGGTTAGCCAACTAACGGAGTTGCAGCAACAACCTTAACAACAACAACCTTTATTTATAGAGCACATTAAAAGCCTTAGGCATACCAAAGTGCTTTACAAAAAACAATAAAATAATACAGTTAAGAGCATTAATATCAAATATAATAAGAACAGCAGACAATGTTCACAGTAGAAAGCCACTAATAAAATGGACTGCAGCACATAGATTATAGCAGACCCAGTGCCGCATGATAGAGAACACCAAGAATGAAGGAATAGTAAAAAGTTAATGCAATAGGTCGCAGTTAACAGTCAGCATTTAACGGGTAGAGAAGGCAAGTTCAAAAAGATACGTTTTAAGGCGTGCTTTAAAAGAAAAAATAGAATCAGACTCCCGAATGCCAATCGGGAGGCTGTTCCATAACTCAGGTGCAGCAAAGGCAAACGATCGATCGCCTCTAGATTTCAACCGAGATCTGGACTGAACTAACAATAACTGCGAGGATGACCTTAAAGCCCTGGCAGGGACATAAGGGTTTAAAAGTTCCTTAAGATAGGTTGGTGCAGTATTATTGATAATTTTAAAAGTAAGCAGCAAAATTTTAAATTGAATACGGTATTTGATAGGCAGCCAATGCAGCTCAGCAAGAACCGGAGTAATATGGTCAAACTTCTTGGTTTTAGTTAGAATACGTGCCGCAGCATTCTGAACTGTCTGTAATCTATGTAGAAGGGTAACATGGAGACCAGAATAGAGTGAGTTACAGTAATCTAGTCTTGACGTTACAAAAGCATGAATGAGCTTTTCTAAGTCATTATACGGGATATAGTGTCTGGCCCTGGAGATGAGACGAAGCTGATAAAAACTAGATCTGACAACAGCAGACACCTGTTTATCAAGTTTAAAGGAGCTGTCAAACAAGACACCCAGATTCCTGACAGTATCAGAAAAAGAACTAGTAAGAAAGCCAAAGGCATCTTGAAGTTTGGCGCGAAGGGCATTACTGCCAAAAATCATGATTTCAGTCTTTTTTTCACTGAGAATAAGAGTATTTGCCAACAGCCATTTCTTGACCTCACTCATGCACTCACGAAAGTTATTTAAAGATAAAGCGAGATCATCATGTAACTCAAAATAAATCTGGATGTCATCCGCATAATAGTGAAAAGCAATGTGGTATTTCTCAAAGATAGCGCTTAAAGGAAGCATATACAGTGAGAAAAGGGTCGGGCCTAACACAGAACCCTGGGGGACACCACAGCAAACAGGTACAGGGGAAGAGGAAGATGAGGCCAGATGTACCGAAGAAAGCCGATTGGAGAGGTAAGATTTGAACCAGTCCAAGGCAGTGCCCTTAATGCCAACAGAGTGCTCTAATCTTGCGACTAGGATGTTATGGTCAACCATATCAAATGCAGATGAAAGATCCAATAGAACTAAAACAGAAGGACGACCATTATCAGCCATAAGTAAAAGATCATTAAAACACGAAGCAGCGCTGATTCAGTGCTATGATGTTGTTTAAAGGCTGATTGGAATTTATCATTTATATTATTCTCGTCCAAGTAGGTCTGCAGTTGAAGTAGAACCACCTTCTCAAGGATTTTAGCCAAGAAAGGAAGCTTGGAAATCGGTCTATAGTTGGCAAAATCACTATGATCCAGGTTATTTTTCTTTAAAACGGGTTGAATAAAAGCATGTTTAAGAACTGAAGGTACATAACCAGAAAGCAAGGAGAGGTTCAATATAGACAATAGACAGGGTCCAATTACATTAAAACAATCCTTGACTATACGAGATGGAAGAACATCATGTACACAATTAGTATTGTTTAGTTTCTCAGTTATACGCTTCAGAGTGGGAAGTGAAATTAATTCAAATTGATGTAAGGCAGCAGAACAGTCAGGATTAGACATACTGTCAGCCACCAAAGGAAGCGTAGATCTAAGAGATAAAACTTGGTGCGACAGCAAGGTGCGACAAAGAAGGTGCATAAGAAATACAGCAAGCTGTCCATACCTGAGGCCTTGGAAACTGCCAAGCAAAGACTCACAGCCTTGGCCAGCCGCTTGAGGAGGTACACCAGAGAGATAGAAGGCAGGAGAATAAACCAGCTGTTCTCCACAGAACCAGCAAAGGTGTCCTCTCAGTGGCAAGGGAACAATAAGAGAACAGCACCACCAAGGCTGGAGACGGAGCAATACTGGAAGAGCATATGGGAGAAGGATGCAACCCATAACGGCAATGCTCAGTGGCTAGAGGATCTGAGGGCAGACCACAGCGACCTCCCTGAACAGGGTCCAGTAACCATCACAGTGGCAGATATCCAAGAAAGGGTCTCCAGTATGAAGAGTTGGACAGCACCAGGGCCCGACATGGTTCACGCCTACTGGCTGAAGAAGCTGACTGCACTCCACGAGCGTCTGGCAGCACAAATGAACCAGCTGCTAGTTAACGAGAGACACCCGGAATGGCTAACCGAAGGTCGGACGGTCCTGATCCCCAAGGACCCCAAGAAGGGACCGGTCCCCTCCAACTACCGACCAATAACCTGCCTCAGTACTACATGGAAGCTCCTGTCAGGCATCATATCGGCTAAGATGAACAGGCACATGGGTCAATACATGAGCGGGACACAGAAAGGAATTGGCAAGAATACCAGAGGCGCAAAACACCAGCTACTGGTAGACAGAACAATCAGCCGAGACTGCAAGACCAGACTGACCGACCTGTGCACTGCCTGGATTGATTACAAGAAGGCCTATGACTCAATGCCCCACAGCTGGATACTGGAATGCCTAGAATTGTACAAGATCAATGGGACCCTAAGAGCCTTCATCAGGAACTCAATGGGGATGTGGCGTACAACACTAGAGGCCAACTCCAAGCCCATAGCACAAGTCACCATCAAGTGCGGGATCTACCAAGGAGATGCTCTGTCCCCACTGCTGTTCTGCATAGGCCTGAACCCCCTCAGTGAGATCATTAACAAGACTGGCTACGGATACCGACTACGGAACGGAGCAGTTGTCAGCCACCTCCTGTACATGGATGACATCAAGCTGTATGCCAAGAGTGAACGAGACATCGATTCACTGATCCACACTACCAGGCTATACAGCAATGACATTGGAATGTCGTTCGGACTGGAGAAGTGTAGTCGGATGGTAACAAAGAGAGGGAAGGTAGTCAGAACTGAGGGGATTGAACTACCAGAAGGCAACATTGCAGACATAGAGGACAGTTACAAATACCTGGGGATCCCGCAGGCAAATGGGAACCATGAAGAGGCCGCTAGAAAGGCTGCAACCACCAAGTACCTGCAGAGGGTCAGGCAAGTCCTGAGGAGTCAGCTGAATGGTAAGAACAAGATCCGGGCCATCAACACGTACGCCCTGCCCGTGATCAGGTACCCTGCTGGGGTAATAGGCTGGCCAAAGGAGGAGATAGAAGCCACTGACATAAAGACAAGAAAGCTCCTTAACATGCATGGAGGGTTTCACCCCAAGTCCAGCACCCTGAGGCTGTACGCTAAGCGGAAGGAAGGGGGCCGGGGACTGGTGAGTGTCAGCACCACAGTCCAGGATGAGACAACGAACATCCAAGAATACATTAGGAAGATGGCCCCAACTGACCGAGTGCTCAGTGAATACCTCAGGCAGCAGAAACCCAAGAAAGAGGAGGGAGACGAGGAACCATCATGGAAGGACAGGCCCCTGCACGGTATGTACCACCGGCAGATAGAGGAGGTGGCTGATATCCAGAAATCCTACCAGTGGCTGGACAAAGCTGGACTGAAAGACAGCACAGAGGCACTAATCATGGCAGCACAAGAACAAGCTCTGAGTACAAGATCCATAGAGGCTGGGGTCTATCACACCAGGCAAGACCCCAGGTGCAGGCTGTGTAAAGATGCTCCAGAGACAATCCAGCACATAACAGCAGGGTGCAAGATGCTAGCAGGCAAGGCATACATGGAACGCCATAACCAAGTGGCCGGCATAGTGTACAGGAACATCTGTGCCGAGTATAACCTGGAAGTCCCGAGGTCAAAATGGGAGATGCCCCCAAGGGTGGTGGAGAATGACCGAGCTAAGATCCTGTGGGACTTCCAGATACAGACGGACAAAATGGTGGTGGCTAACCAACCGGACATAGTGGTGGTAGACAAACAGAAGCAGACGGCCGTAGTGATCGATGTAGCGGTTCCGAATGACAGCAATATCAGGAAGAAGGAACACGAGAAGCTGGAGAAATACCAAGGGCTCAGAGAAGAGCTCGAGAGGATGTGGAGGGTGAAGGTAACGGTGGTCCCCATGGTAATCGGAGCACTAGGTGCGGTGACTCCCAAGCTAGGCGAGTGGCTCCAGCAGATCCCAGGAACAACATCGGAGATCTCTGTCCAGAAGAGCGCAGTCCTGGGAACAGCTAAGATACTGCGCAGGACCCTCAAGCTCCCAGGCCTCTGGTAGAGGACCCGAGCTTGAAGGATAAACCGCCCGCAGGGGCGTGCTGGGTGTTTTTATATATATATATATATATATATATATATATATATATATATATATATATATATATATATATATATATATGTATATATATATATATATATATATATATATATATATAAACAAAATACAGTGAGAGAGAGAAAGAAAGAAAACTAGAAGGAAGAGTAGAAGGAACTAAAAGGAGAGTGGGGTAGGCAGGGTTTGTGGAAATGAACGGTCGTGAGAGATTGGATCAAAATGTCAAAGGAAGAGAGAATGCTAACAAGGTAAGGGAGGGACTGATGTTGGTGACATATTGTTGAAATTCCAAAATAATTATTAGAAAAGGGGATAAAGGATGAAGAAATTAAAGAAAAGACATGAGGAGGGGAGAGAAGAGGGAGGATGATATGGAACAAAGGAAGAGAGAAAGAGGAGATGAAAATGGGTAGGTGCAGGAGATGAAAGACAAGGGGAGATGAAAAAGCAAAGTATGAGAAAAGGAGTGACAAAAAGAGAGGTGAGGAAAGAGCAATTTAAAAGAAACGGAAGGAGTAAAATGAAAAAAGATGGGGAAAGAAAAACAAGCAGAGAGTAGAGAGAAGGAAAGACAAGGAGGGGAATGATGAAAGCAAAAGGAAGGAAGATGGCGGGAAAAGATGAGTGAGTGAAAGAACAAAAGAGGAGAGGAGTCAAAAAGTTTAAGAGGTCTGGAGAGGAGATTGGAAATAGAGTAAGGAAGACACGGGAGAGGAGAGAGAAGGAAAGGCAAGATGAGGGGAGAAGAAGAAAGCATACAGGTGAGTCAAGGCTTGAGAACAAAAAATCAGGTGAAGTTAAACATAACTTTAAAAAAAAGGATGAGTTGAAAGAGGTGATAGGAAAGGAGGTGAAAGGGGAGAAAAGCACAGAAATTCACACTGACCTCTGAACACCAGGAAGAGATAGCCTAGCTCTAGCAGACAAGCCCCCAAATTGTCCTGACCCACTTTATTCCCCTTCTGCCTTTTCCGTCTTTTCCTGAGCTCACTCGAGGGAGTGGATGTTACATTCGTAGTGATGTTTTCGTGCATCTGGATGTCCAGTCTAAGCGTCAACCTATTTCAGGAGGACAAAGTGAAGAATGCAGAGCTGCTCCTCTGTGCCTGCTTCCCTGCTCTGATCAGCAGATTGCTCATGTCTTGTTTGCCTGGGATTATCTCTGACACACGCATTAGGCAAATGAAGGGAAGCGTCTGCACTAGCCCACTGGACCGTTGTGGTTTAGCGTGCTGGGTGCATATTTCTCTGATTTGCATCTCATTATGGGATATGCTTAGCAAGTAGGTTACAGTACAGAACTGACATGACTGTACGTCTGAGTGTTTACATCAAATGGCCTGTTTGTTCCCCACTTTGATGAAATGATGATGTTTGCATGCTTAATGGTGCAGTTAATTGGTATGCTTTCAACCTGCAGACGATCCAGAAGGCTCCTTCGTGCCGCCTGAGTTTGACAACACGGGCAGCACGTTTGAGGTGAGAAATGCTGAATCTTCTTACTCGATGTGGTCAAAGGGACAGTGCAGTCATTCACCCCTGGGAGTTTCTCAATACAGCACACAGTGGTGATGTTGCTGAAAGAGAGGAGAGTGTTGTTTGTTCTCTGCTCTCACCTTAAACTCCATGCAAGACAGCAGCCATTCAGTTATATGCCCACCTCTGTGACCTCGAGCTGTGAAACAGTTATATTTGTGAACTTCCTAATTCCAAAATAGTTTATATTTTTATAATTTTCACAATAAATTCTATCTGTATGTCTGTAATAATTAGCCCTTTTTTTTCTCTTTATTCCCCCCTCCAAGTATGCACAGTTTATGGCGGCTCTAAAACAGCTGTTATTCATTTGAGCACACAATTCAATAAATGAAACCATTTATTTCCAAAGTGAAAGCTGTGCGTTACATCTCTGAAGCTTTAAACTGAATCCATTTATATCCATGGTTTGATACATCACATAGAGACTGAGATGTGGAAATCACTATAGATTCTGGCCAAGTCAGTGACATTCATTTTATTGATTATATGCTATTTAGAAATATTCTGCAAATAGTCATACAGACTAATGTGTAGTTACTTACGGCAAGAAGGTTGTGTTTTTGGTAGCATTTACGTGCATGGCATTCTGTGTGTACACACGATCGCTCGAACGGTTGTGAATGAATTCTGATAAAACTTTGTGGGGAAACTAGGAATCAACTAAACTAGGATTCTTACAGACTGAAGTGAAATGGACCAAAATTGATTGATTGATAATACTTTATTCATCCCGAGGGAAATTGGGTTAAGGCTGCCAGCCGTACCAGCGCCATCTTACCCTTCCGACCATACATGAATTACACAAACATCACATGGGGAAGACAGGTCAGAGAGGTATAACAATGGAAAATGCACAACATGAGGAAAGACCATACCAAATCTGTTAAGAAACACTGTAAAAAGCACTGTATAAAAATTTTAGATGTCATGTTATATTTGACCTTTGACTGCTCTTTCTAGGTCAGTAGATTGAACTGAATGTCAAAGTGATAACTATGTTTCTTAATGTAATTATTTCCATTAAGAACATAAAGGCACATAGGGAATGATGTATGGTGATCCTAAATAGCGCGTTATTTTATTATGACTGTGTTACAGTACATACATAATAACTTGAATACCTGTGCGATGTTCCTAAATAATGATTATTTGCACAAATTTCAAGAGTGTAAAAATGGTTTGGCAGGAACTAAAACAAAACAACTGATTACATGTTCACGTCTATGGCAATGTCATGCATACAGTTTGTGCAGCTGTAAATTTAACACCAGAATATAAAGTGTGGATTCATTATGCAATGCACAGGTTTGCATACCTGACATACTTTCAGCTGAGAATCTACACTGGCACATTATTGTTATTGTTCAGAGTAAATTATCAGTGATCTAGGCAGGTGTAAACAAAACCACTTTTATGAAAAAAGTCCGACTTCCCAGCCATAGTCGAGGTTTTTTTGTTTTTGCACCGTGTAGCCGCTGTGCAGATTAACAATGTGCCATTGAGCAAACTGTCCAGATGAATATCATTTATTATTAATCACTGTGTATGTTGATATTTCATCACAGTTACGTTTCAGGCAGGCACACTTTGAGAAAAGCCTTTTTAAATATTTTAAATGCGTGTGTGCTATCTGCGATTTTTAACCAAATAGCAGGTTACACACCATTTTGCCACTTTTGATTACTCATATACGCACGGTCAATTTCACTGCAGTTGAAGAGATCTGCTGCGAATCCTGCCCTGAATTACACTTGACTACATTATTCTGAGAGGTGTTTCTAATTTGTTTTCCTCCCCATTTACATTCACGGGCGGTGCGAAATGTCAGAGACACCTGAATATAAAGCAGTTCAGTCTACACCACCACTAAGTGTGACCTCACTGCTAAAACATTAACACCTACATCTGTGTCAGCAAGAACATGGCAGTATATTATGTACACCATAACAGAAGAGTTGTATCGGATTACATTATATTCATTTTGGATGGGTGGATTAGCAAATGCTTCTTTGCTTTGAGTCAGTCTGAAGTGCAGGAATCAGCCTCACAGCTCATGCCTGATACACGGTCTGACCTCTTTTAACTGACTATAATCCCAGACCTCAGTGATTCACTTGGCTGGTACACAGTATCATCATGACAAACACAAACTGTGTCCACAGCTATGAAAATAAGCTTACAGTTTAATTCAACCCAAATTTCCCTTTAACATTCAGCAGTCTAAATCTTAAAACAGACTGGATCGAGTTGTTCTTCTGACTAATGCGTTTAAGCACGAGCCTCTTTATCTACGAATTTGCATACTTTTCATTGTAAGGTGCTTGCAGCTCCAGGTGTAAACATGTCTGAGTACTCTCCTCTGCACATTTATCTTTGTTCCTGCTGCAATTCTTTTAAAAGTAAGTCTGCATTTCTCTCACTGGGCTTAATAAATGTTCATCTCCATTATGTATCCTTTTTCGCTGTGGCTGAGTGCAGCTGTGTAACCACTCTATTCATCTTTTTAGACTTCTCTGTACATCTATGTCTGCTGTATTATGGATACAGCACTGAAAGAACTTTATTGTTAGGAAACAGACAAATGCCTTTCATGCAACTGAATTCTAAAGCTTTCTGCTTCCTCCGTAGAAATGCAGAATTCAAATGTGAAAGTCGCACTGTGCCACTGAGCGGTGCGACTTTTCTCACCACCGCATGAATACATTTGCAGCAGACTTATGTAACTGGATTTCAAAGTAAACTGTGCGTTCTAATTTTTTGCAGTTTTTCTAAAGAACTTCTTCTTTTTGCACATTTGTTTACCACATAAGTATGGATCGAGCCCACTTCAACTGTTGGGAGCGATAGTTATGTGTGGGTCATGAACTCCGGAGCACCTGGTACATATCCACTGCTGTCTCAGGGCTGACCATAATATCCACTGTCAGCGAAGCAAAGCAACACAAAGGCTCCGTCATAAATATGCCTACATGGCAGCGATGCATAGCAATTATGGCCTATAAAGTCGTTACGGGATAGAGTGTTATTTTGAGCTTTTCTAAACTCATTCATGGATTCAGATCTCTGTGTGTACTGTAAATTCACAGCTGCAGCTGCTTCGTGATAATGACAGCGTTGTCTCCCTGTCTGCCCCCGGCTACAGGGCCATGTTTATTCTCTGGGCTCTACGCTTTCTGCCGCACTGAACTTTGTCATCGAGCCAGAGCTGGAGGCAGATCTGGGAGAAGAAATCCAGAGGCTGCTGGAGCAGATGCAGGAGGAGAAGCCTGAGGACCGGCCGCTCCTGCAGGTACAAAAAAACCTGCTGACTCTTTATTACTGTTAGAATGATTTATAGAAAGCTGCGTGGTTTAAACTGCATGAGACAGCTGTGAAATAATTAGAGGTCTCGCTTCAGAAGGCGTTTTGTCCTGGGATCACACTAAAATCATTATAACTTTCACACAAATGGGAAAATTGGGTGATTTGCCTTTTTGACATGTAGTGAGACAGGAAAATATGGTTAAATATGAAATGTGTCGTGTTGAACAAATAGGAAAAGAACTGAAAAGCAGTATCTCGTCATGATCTAATACGATGGATAATGATTGGCCAATAGCAATGTGTAGCCTGTACCGATGCTTTCCTCACATATATCAAGCCAAACAGTACATCCCAGCAGAACACGGAATCACTATTGCTTTACAGTCAGAACAAATATATGGATACTTTGTGTGATTATTGTAGTATTAAATCATGTCTGCTTTTCAACTATTAGACAAACTGACAGTCCATATTACTCCAGTCAGTCCGTGCTCTTGAGCAGCATCAAGTGGAAATAATGTGTCACTGCAAGTTTTGCATTTCACTGTCAGCCTCTTACAAGATAAACCTCAATGAAAAAGAAAAACAGAAGTAAAATTGCTCATTCTAAGTGGAAAAAGGTGTTATATGATTGTAATATGTACTACAACTTTATGAGAACCCTCTCAGAAGTCTGCGTATAAGCATACAGAATAAGGCTCATGAAGAGCTCATGGTAACAAAATCGCAAAAAAACCCAGCAACTAGTCAATGATTATGAGCAGTCATCCCTCCAGAAACAGCTAATTGGAAGGGGTTGCCAAAACACCCACGCAAAAGTCCAAATCTAGAGATAAACAACAGATTTCAAAAAGAAAAAAGGGAGATTAAACACTGAAAATATAGACAAAACTGCATAAACAGATAAAAAGTCCAAAAATGCTCTACAGCTCTAACATAGATGCCAATAATCCAGTGAATATCCACGCAGTGAAACACTGTGTATGTATGTGATGTATGAAAAAAATATGTAGGAGAAATACATTTATTCACAACTACTTGAAAAAGTAGCACATACACACGGTACTATGTATGTGTTGTCTGTTCATGTGTTGCAAACCTGCAAGTGTAACACTCCCACAGGACATCCTGTCTCTGGCTGAAGGACGGCTGTCCCGCACCTCCTCTGCAGCTGTATGCCGCAAACTCTCCTCAGTTGGACGACGCGTGCTCTCCATTGAATCGGTTTCAAACTTTCAAGGTTATCATGTTCATCACGTGTATTCAAACAGATCGCCGCTTAGTCTCTTCCGTGATTTCTCCTGCTGTTATTTTCTTTCTTTTGGCATCCACAGATGGGCAGGAGAGCTCCTGGGAGGCGAGATGGCAGCATTCCAAACCTAAATGTCTTCTTAAAAGACTGAGCTCAGATGACAACACCAAAGATCAGCATGACAGTTCTGTTAAAACAAATGGTCTGTCCAGGCAGCAGGTATGGAGCAAGTTTTTAAAAATGTAGCAAGCAGCTGGAGGAAGAAATATTTTAAAAACCTGTACTGCCAGCAAACAGCTTTTCCAGAATGTTATTGGTACCTATTCAGAGCCGTTTCATAATTGAAATATATGTTTTATTTCATTTTCTGACTGTGTGCTAAATGAGCTAGTGATGCAACATCATGTCAGAAAAGTTATTGGCAGATTTAAGCAACATGTTAACACATTCCTTAAAGGAATCATATACAGTATTTAACTGTGTTTGCAAAGAGTAGAATATTACTATACAACTTGCTTTACAAGATTTTATTTACATTGTTGTTAGAATTTCAAAAACAACTTCTACTATATATACCCCTATTAGATTACCAGAGTTTGTACAATCATAAAGAGCTTGAAAGTCAATATTTGGTATGATCACCTTTATTCTTCAACACAGCTTGAACTCTCTTAGGCAGCTTTCTTGGAATTTCTTTAAGTAATCTTCAGGAATATTTCTCCAGGCTTCATGAAGGACAGTCAGAGCTCTTCTTTGGATGTTGGCTGACTTTTATTCTGTTCTCTGTCACGATGATCCCACACCACTTCGAAAATGGTGGTGTGGTCCATGACAAAGCCGCCACCGTGTTTTACAAATGACATTCACTGTTGTACCTCTCTCCAGACCTCCTCTGTGCATATTGACAATGATTTGAACCAAAATAATTCATCTCTCCATAAAACCTGTTTCCACAGATTCTCAGTGCAGTTCTTGTATTATTTGGCACACCTCAGCATTTTCTCCTCGTTTCCCTTGCTTAGAATGATTTCTTGACAGTTTCTTGATCATCTGAAGGGTATCTCTCAGATCTTAGCTGGATTTGCTCCAGTTTCTGAAGGACATGACTTTTAGATAGTGTTCATCTGCTGCCATAGATCATTTTTTAGCTCTGTCTTTTCTTTTTTTTCCTCCTCTTGTCCAATTACCTGAAATTTCTTTAAGGACAGACTGCAGGACAGACCTTCAGAAAGCCTGAATAACTATTGCTCAAGAAAACTTAAAAATACAAGAAAGTCTGACTGCTTGAAAGAAAAACATAAAGAAATGTAGAGTGGCTTAAGATCTTTGGGCAGTGCTGTATATTTGCACTGATGCTCATATTAAGCTTGGCAAAAGTTTCAAATCATAGGGACCTAATTTCTATCAGTAATCCCTAAAAGCTCGGGCTTCAGATGCTCCAAACTCTTTGGCCATATTTGTATCCATAGATCTGTGTGATGTCAGAGAGAATATCTTCATATGGTCACCTTAGGCACAAAACTCCAGAATACAATATAAAATTGTAAAGCATAACAATATCAAGAAAAAAAACTATGGAGTTGAAAAAGGGCAGAATTGAGATTTATGTTCTTTCCATTTCAGTTTGCTCAGCTATCTAAACTATGGTTTCTGTTTTACCATCTAGATAATTAAGTTTATTTTTTGCCTTCAAAACAGCTGAAACCAATCATAATGTTCTCGATCTGCAGCTGTGTGGGGGCTGGGATTCCACTCTCTGGGCTGAGGACATGGAGGGCAGTGAAAGAGACAGCTTGATCTTGACAGATGAGATGGATTGCCGTTCTCACAACAGCTCCCCAGTGAGGAGGAGAGCGCAGCAGAGGCTGAACAGAGTGAGGGGGGCCCTTAACCGCTCCTGTTCTGTCCCGGACTCCAACAACCCCCCCTGCTTCTCCCCTCCAAGTCACGGAGACATCAGTATACCGGTTTCAGACCTCACTGAGATAGGAGCAGACGAGCACTTGAGCTGCAAGTCTGTGTGGAGTAACAGACTTCAGAGATTCAGCCGGGGAAAGTCCTGTGAGACGTACCCACACTGTAACAGTGAGGACTGCTGGGAAATGTCCAGAGAAACTGAGGATGCTGCCGAGACTGAACACACCAATATTCAAGAGTGCCACGAAAGTCAGTATGAGGAGTGCGCCCAGGACTTCATACAGGACTTTGTGCAGGAAGTACAGGATTCCTCGTCCTGTACTTCCCTGAACATGGAACAGGACTCTTCTGAAGACCAGACTTCACTAAACCACAGTCTATACATTCCTAATAACTACATGACCAAAAGCATGCTGTTCCTGAATGAAGAATCTCAGGATGAGGTTAGCCATTGCCAGACAGCCTTTAAATTTATGGCTCTATGCTCACATCACATATTTGCTTGCAGAAAAACAACAGAGGTCTCAGGTGAAGGCTGAAGTGGGCTCAACTTTTTTGTATCCTCTCAAAAAAGCTTTGAGTTGGCAGTTTTAGAGGAATAAGAAGGGAAGAGCTGGGTTCATTTCATAGTCTTTAACTGCATTGTATGACCTATGTCAGTACAGGATCTTTGCTCATGTTAAGATGGCTGAAAAGCTTTGGTGAAAAATGCTTGAGTGGACGATGATGATAATTTAAGATTGTTGAGCTTTCACCATGCAGCTAGCCAAGGAGGAGATTGCTAAGATTATTAGGGAATAAAAAAAGTCCAGAGTACTTCGCACCTTCTAAAAAAAAAAAAGGTGGAGAGAGATACAGTATTGTAAAACTGTTACCTGATTTCAGATTTTTGCAAATAATTAATCCTCTTTGAAACAGCTTAGTCAGATGAAAAGCTCACCCACACATTTTTCACACCCGCAAAACCATAAAATTAGAGTCAAGTGACAGAGTAATCACATAGGTACTCAGCAGCAATAGAAGCATTAAAAAATAGATTGGAATTGCTCCAGTTAGAGTTAATTAGGCCTTCTGAGGGAGCATCTGAAACTCTTTAATCTGTAACACATTCCCTTTTTAAGATTGGTTTGTTCTTGTTTTCTTTCCAGTGGATCTCTCTAAGAGAGTTGCTTGCTCGTTGTGGACGGAGGCTGACAGTTAATGAGCTGTGGGCTCTGTGTTACACCTGCCTAACCTCACTGCAGAGCTACATTGACTTTCCAGGTGATTTTACCCACTGTGTTCACAAAACCAGGAAGAAACTATCCCTGCAACAGCAGTTTTCTCTTCATTTTAGAGCTAGCGCTTACAATAGACTGGTAGAAAGTTCCAAAGCGGAGAGAAAAAAACTGACTAGAAATATTATGCAAATTACGTTGCATGGTTCTAGCTCACAATTCTTCTGTGCAGCTGATTTCTCTCTTTTCTGTTAGCCTATTTATGCCTGGACACGGCGCATGTGGGCTGCAAGGGAGAAGTGCTTTTTTTGAAACCTAAAAACATAGGTAGGTACTTCTTAGTCATCTGCTGTTGTGTTTGTCATGTTTTTTGGGGAGGGATTTGCAATCTCTAGTTGTATACTCTCAAAATACTCACTGAAAATGCACTCTTATCCAACGTGTATGAGTATATGTTGACTTTAGGAACTAACTGTAAGTGTCCTTTGCAGGATCTAGAGATGAATTTTATCTTGCTCCTGAATATCAAGAGCATGGAATTGTAACAGAGAAGGTCGGTCTGTCAGAACTGCTTTCATTAATTTTTAAAGCGAAATTTTAAATAATTTATTTCAAATTAACCCCCACCCGCTTCTTTTTGTTCTCGTCTGTCTTTGCTCAGGTTTGCGTGTATGGGGTTGCTGCCATTCTCTGGGCCACAGCCAAGTTCAGTTTATCACCTAATCAAAAACTGGCGATGCCTCGGAAATTAAAGAGACTGCTCCTGGAGATGGCTAAGAGGACGCCTATCGAGCGACCTACCATCGACATGGCTAAAAAAGTATCATAACCCATTATTATTATTATTATTTAAAAAACATGAATTGTCACCTTAATCTAACACTATGAGTTGCTAGTTTTTCTCTAATGAAAGTCTTTATGTGGTTGTCAAAGCAAATTATCTGTGGGGCTCTATGCCTGACACTGCCAGACAAGAAAACCCTTTATCACTAGCTGGCTGTTACTCTGTTTTCTTCTTTGAACACATACAAAGGCATCACAGTCTTTTACCACATTAGCTTCAAATGAACTATCACAGTGCTTTTTGAATTCCTGAAATTTCTGACAAGAATGTCTCCAGCTAGTGATATTTTTGTCATCAGAAAGTTATTGTAAAAATACAACATGACAATTTGATTTCAGTATTTGTGCTTTTTTTTGTTTTTGTTACAAATGAAAATTGGGTTGTAAAACTTACATTTAGAACAAACACGCTGGCATGTTAAACAGAAGCCCGGAGTTATCTTACAAAGGTAGGTGCTTATATTTATAGAATAGAATTAATGACTTTTTTTAAGCATTTAAAATGCAGTACAGAATTCCCAGTGCCATTTTAGAGGCCACGGGGAGTCTTTACTGTTGTTAGTTTAAGAGCACTACTGAAGATTTCAGAACAATACTACAGACTTTTTGATTTTTGATAGCAAAGAGCCACAGCAGCAGCTTGATTCCATTGATATCATGGTTTCCTCGTGACCTTTGCTGTTGCACAAATTATTTTTTTCCGTATTTCTGGCCTCTGTGGTCTCTAGAAGACTTGGAGGTTTTTGTAAAGCTTAGGACATCGAATATTTCCACTTATGAGCAAATAAAAAATGTCAGACTATGCAACTGTGGCTTCAGTACTAATTAGCATATGTTAACATGCTAAACAGGTTTGTCGGGTTTTGAGTTTTATGGTCAGATATAAAGTCATGGTAAAAAAAAAAAACAATGTATCCCATCTTTAAATTCTAATGTTTTATTTATCAGGACATAATAAAAAAAAAGATCTGATCCTTACCAGGACTTAAAGTTAGTAAAATACAACAGATAAATTGCAGAAGCAGTATGTAAAAAACTACCAAACCAAATGATTTAATAGCTTGTAGAACTAACTTTATCAGAGTCTTTGTTTCATAAAAGACTTTATGTGTCATGGCTAGACGGTCCTCACTGATCGTCTTGCCAATTTGTTGTGGTGTTTGTGTGTACTGTGTCGTGTTCTCCTCTCCATCCTGTGCATGTGTTTTTCTGCTGGAACATGTACTTCCGGAAGCCGTGGCACGGAACGGCAGTTGACCGGAGGGGAGTGTCCTGAGCTAGAATCATCGCACCTGTGCAGAATTACCTTGCCAGCGCAGACCTATTTAACGGGGCGGTTGAGTCACAACCAACGCTGGAACGTTGAACTAAACCGGGGTTCAGGGATTGGAGGAGGAGCCGGCACCAGGAGTTGTTGTGGATTATTACTGCACTGTCACCGTGAGGAGAGGTCGCCGTATCACTGCACTGCCCTTTTTGGATTATAGACTCGAACTGTTAACTCACCTTTTCACTGTAAATAAATCCACTGTCATTCTGCAAGGAGTCTCGCACCTGAGTCCTTTAATCCAATTCTCCATGACATTATGACACTCTCATGTCATTGTGGAGGAATTTTGGCCCACTTGTCTTTCTGCTTTATTTTATAGAGGGGTTGATTTTATTGAGGTTTGAAGCCATTCATTCACCACAGCATTTCAATCAGGTTGAGGTCTCAACTTTGACTGCACCATTGCAACACCTTGTTATTTTACTTTACGGCTATTCTGTTCTAGATTTTCCTGGCATCATTGTCCTGTTGCTTGACCTAATTTCAGCAAAAACTTTCAGCCGTGCTGCCATGTTCTATCTATAGTGAAAGGCTGGTTGCATTAAGAGATCTGATATTTGATTGGACAATCAAGTGTCAGTAATGAAAATAAAAAAACAAAAAAGGGTCAAGCAGTTCAGCCCTGCTTTCCTCCAGGGCATTTTGCTATCACACATTACAATGATTCAGACCAGCAAACTGACAGAACCTCTGCTTTTACAGAAGTGGTCATACTTATTTATAATCAGTTTAATAAATGCAGTTGATTTGCAACACCCATTTGATACTGTATGCCCCCATGCATTCAGTACTATCCATCCATCCTTTCATCTTCTTCTGCTTATCCGTGGCCGGGTAGCAAGGGCAGCAGCCTAAGCAGAGAATTCCAGACCTCCCTCGCCTCAGCCACCTCCTACAGCTTGTCCGGGGAAACACCAAGGCGTTCCCAGGGAGATATAATCTGTCCAACGTGTCCTGGGTTTGCCCCGGGTCCTCCACCCGGTGGGACATCCCGTGAAGACCTCACCCAGGAGCCGCCCAGGAAGCATCCTTGTCAGATGCCCAAGCCACCTCAACTGGCTCCTTTCCTGTTTAGATGTCCTGCCAACAAGTTTTTTCAAAAAGGTCTCAAAGACTTTAGAGTCAGACCTGTTACAGATTGTCAACTTTTCTTTATTATCAGGTGTGTTTCCAGAATCACTAAAAACTGCTGTAATCAAACCTATACTGAAAAAGGACAATCTTGACAAGACACAAATGAACAACTACAGGCCGATCTCAAATCTCCCGTTTTTAAGTAAGATCATTGAAAAAGCAGTTTCTCAACAGCTCAGTTACTTCTTAAAACAGAATAATTGCTACGATGCCTTCCAGTCAGGTTTTAGACAGAACCACAGCACTGAAACCGCTCTGACCAAAGTGTTTAATGACATATGTCTGAATACAGACAGTGGAAAAATGTCAGTCCTAGTTTTACTGGATCTCAGTGCAGCATTTGATACAGTTGACCACAACATATTACTCAAACGACTGGAGAACTGGACAGGTCTTTCAGGAACTGTACTAAACTGGTTCAAAACATACGTAGAAAACAGGAAATACTTTGTATCAATAGGTAACTTCACATCTGAGCAGACAAGTATCACATGTGGAGTTCCCCAAGGTTCCATCTTGGGACCCCTTCTGTTTAACATCTACATGCTCCCACTGGCACAGATGATAAACAACAACAAAATAAACTATCACAGCTATGCAGATGACACACAAATATATATCACAATGTCACCAGGAGACCGAGGCCCTGTACAGGCTCTTGGTAAATGCATTGAGGAAATCAATGACTGGTTGTGCCACAATTTTCTCCAGCTAAACAAAAACAAAACTGAGGTAATAGTCTTTGGCGCCAAAGAAAAACGATTACAGGTCACCAGAGAACTTCAATCTATACATCTAAAAACCACAAACCAGGCGAGAAATTTGGGTGTAGTGATGGATGCAGACCTAAACTTAGAAAAACACATTAAGACAATAACAAAGTCAGCTTACTATCACCTCAAGAATATATCAAGGATAAAAGATCTGATGTCTCAACAGGACCTGGAAAAACTAGTCCATGCATTCATCTTTAGTAGGCTTGATTACAGTAACAGCATCTTTACAGGTCTACCTAAAAAATCAGTCAGACAGCTACAGCTCATTCAGAACTCTGCTGCTCGAGTCCTCACTAAGACCAAAAAAGTGGACCACATCAGTCCAGCTCTGAGGTCTTTACACTGGCTGCCTGTCCGTCAGAGGATAGACTTTAAAGTTCTGATGCTGGCCTATAAAGCTCTGAATGGTTTAGGACCAAAATACATCAATGACCTCCTGACCCAGTATGAACCATCCAGATCCCTCAGGTCATCTGGATCCGGTCTTTTATCAGTTCCCAGAGTCAGAACCAGACACGGAGAAGCTGCATTCAGCTTTTATGCTCCTTATATCTGGAACAAACTCCCAGAAAGCCTCAGATCAGCTGAAACACTCAGTTTATTTAAATCCAGGTTGAAGACTCACCTGTTCTCAGCTGCATTTGAATAAAGCACCAAATCCACACTTTAAGCTTAAATTTCAAAACTTACATTTAACTACTGATTTTATCTACTGTTCTGATTTTATCTGTTTTGATTTTATATACTGTTGTTTGTTTGTTTGTTTGTTTGTTTGTTTGTTTGTTAATTAGTTAGTTAGTTTATTTGCTTGTTTTATTCAATTTTAAATCATGCTTTTTATTTGTTCTTGTTTCTAATGTCTCTGTAAAGCACTTTGAATCATCTTGTTGTTGAATTGTGCTATACAAATAAACTTGCCTTGCCTTGCCTTGCCTTGCCTCTACTCTGAGCCTCTCCCAGATGGGAGAAGTCAGCCACCCTTCAGAGGAAGCTCATTTCCACTGCTTGTATCCGCGATCTCGTTCTTTCGGTCACTACCCACAGCTCATGATCATAGGTGAGGGTAGGGATGTGGATCGACCAGTAAATTGAGAGCTTTGCTTTTACACTCAGCTCTCTTTTTAGTACTAATGACATGTTAATGTAAAATGCTAAAAGAATTAGTCAAGCACCAAATACAAAGCAAATACAAGCAAAAATGTATCTACAATTTATCATACATTTATTTCTAACTTATGTTAGAATACTAAACTATGAAGTGAACACGGTAAACATTGCTTGCTAAAAATGTACATGATGAATTTAAGTGCTGGCGTTAATCAATGTGGAATGTCCCTTCCAAATAAATATAAAGATATGCTAACATGAGCATCAAAGCCATATATGGTGCAATAATTATTTAGGGTTTCACACTATAAAAGAATCCCTGCCCATTTTTTAATACTTTTATTCAGCATAGACTTTCTATTCTATCACTGATTTGTGTATTCTAATGACACCTTTTTTAAATAATTTATTATAAAATGCACTTTGCATTACACTTTCTTGTTTGCAAAGTTTTCTATAAATAAAGCCCATTTTGATTTTGTTTATCACTGTGCAGATATCACAACTTCAAAGAGAAGCATCATTGCTTAGAGTAATCTCTTTTTTTCCCTTGTCATTATGTCAACAAAGAACTCTGTGACAAATGCCATAATTTACTGTTACCCTGTCAATCCTTTTTAAAGGGTTGCTGCGTGTTTTTTTTTTGTTTTGTTTTTAACCCTTGAGCTATTTCAGGAGAGAATTAGTTCTGACATTATCCATATCTGTGTATGAAGTGCCTTGTATTGCTATCACACTTACTCTCATGTGGATCTGTTCCAGAGCTGTTGTGACTACTTATCACGCCAGGGGACAAATGCTGAGACTGTCTGGAACAACCTCATCAGCAGAGTTCACCCGGTAAACCTTTTTTCATCCATCCATCCATCCTCATCCGCTTTATCCGTGGTCGGGTCGCGGGGGCAGCAGCCTAAGCAAAGAGGCCCAGACCTCCCTCTCCCCAGCCACCTCCTCCAGCTTATCCGGGGGAATACCAAGGCGTTCTCAGCCGAGAGATATAATCTCTCGGCTGGCCCGGATGGCCGGGAGGGGCTCACCCTATCTCTAAGGGAGAGGCCAGCCACCCTTCGGAGGAAGCTCATTTCTGCCGCTTGTATCCGCGATCTGGTTCTTTCGGTCACTACCCACAGCTCGTGGCCATAGGTGAGGGTAGGGACGTAGATCGACCGGTAAATTGAGAGCTTCGCTTTTACACTCAGCTCCCTCTTCACCACGACGGACCGGTGCAGCGTCTGCATTACTGCAGCTGCAGCCCCAATCCGTCTGTCGATCTCCGGCTCCCTTCTCCCATCACTCGCGAACAAGACCCCGAGATACTTGAACTCCTCCACTTGGGGCAGGAACTCATCCCCGACCCGGAGTGGGCACACCACCCTTTTCCGGCTGAGAACCATGGCCTCAGATTTGGAGGTGCTGATCCTCATTCCCGCTGCTTCACACTCGGCTGCGAACCGTTCCAGTGCGAGCTGGAGGCCCTCACCCGATGAAGCCAACAGAACCACATCATCCGCAAAAATCAGAGATGAGATTCTGAGGCCACCAAAGCGAAAGCCCTCCGCCACTTGGCTGCGCCTAGAAATCCTGTCCATAAAAATTATGAACAGAACCGGAGACAAAGGGCAGCCCTGGCGGAGCCCATCACCCACTGGGAACGAGTCCGACTTATTGCCGGCAATGCGAACCAAGCTCTTGCAACGGTTGTATAGGGATCGAATGGCCCGTAGCAATGGGCCAGACACCCCATACTCCCGCAACACCTCCCGCAGGACACCCCGAGGAACACGGTTGAATGCCTTCTCCAAGTCCACAAAACACATGTAGACTGGTTGGGCAAACTCCCATGCACCCTCAAGTATCCTGGAGAGGATAAAGAGCTGGTCCAGTGTTCCGCGACCAGGACGAAAACCGCATTGTTCCTCCTGTATCCGAGGTTCGACTAGCGGACGAACTCTCCTTTCCAGCACCCTGGCATAGACTTTCCCAGGGAGGCTGAGGAGTGTGATCCCCCTGTAGTTGGAACACACCCTCCGGTCCCCCTTCTTAAAGATGGGGACCACCACCCCGGTCTGCCAGTCCACAGGTACTGCCCCTGATCTCCACGCAACATTGCTGAGGCGTGTCAACCAGGACAGCCCTACAACGTCCAGAGCCTTCAGGAACTCGGGGCGGACCTCATCAACACCAGGGGCTCTGCCACCAAGGAGTTGTTTAACTGCCTCAGTGACCTCGCCCCCGGAAATTGGCGGGTCATTCCCCTCATCCCCAGACTCTGCTTCCTCCTCGGAAGACGTGTCAGTGGGATTAAGGAGGTCCTCGAAGTATTCCTTCCACCGCCTGACAATTTTCTCAGTCGACGTCAGCAGCGCTCCGCCAGCACTATACACAGTGCAGGTAGAGCACCGCTTTCCATTCCTGAGACGCCTGACGGTTTGCCAGAATCTCTTCGAGGCAGTCCGAAAGTCTTTTTCCATGGCCTCTCAGAACTCCTCCCACACCCGAGTTTTTGCTTCAGCCACTGCCCGAGCCGCATTCCGCTTGGCCTGTCGATACCTGTCGGCTGCCTCCGGAGTCCCACAGGCTAACCAAGCCCGATAGGACTCCTTCTTCAGCCTGGTGGCTCCCTTCACCTCTGGTGTCCACCATTTGGTTCGGGGATTACCACCGCGGCAGGCACCAACCACCTTGCGGCCGCAGCTCAATGCAGCAGCTTCGGCAATGGAGACGCTGAACATGGTCCATTCGGACTCAATGTCCCCAGTCTCCCTCGGAATGCTGTTGAAGCTCTGCCGGAGGTGTGCGTTGAAGATCTCGCGGACTGGGGCCTCTGCTAGACGTTCCCAGCACACCCTCACTACGCGTTTAGGTGCACCAGGTTTGTCCAGCGTCCTCCCCCGCCACCTGATCCAACTCACCACCAGGTGGTGATCAGTTGACAGCTCAGCCCCTCTCTTTACCCGAGTGTCCAGAACATAAGGTCGCAGGTCTGCTGATACGATTACAAAATTGATCATCGACCTACGGCCTAGAGCGTCCTGGTGCCACGTGCACTTATGGACACTCTTATGTTCGAACAGGGTGTTCGTTATGGCCAAACTGTGATTAGCACAGAAGTCCAATAACAAAGCACCGCTCGGGTTCAGATCAGGGAGGCCGTTCCTCCCAATCACACCCCTCCAGGTCTCGCTGTCGTTACCCACGTGAGCATTGAAGTCTCCCAGCAGAACAACAGAGTCTCCAGGTGGAGTACCCTCCAGCACCCCCCCATGGACTAAGGCCCGGCCACCAGACGCTCGCCCTCGGGCACCCTCCCCGGGCCTGGCTCCAGGGCCCCGGTAACCCTATCCCGGGCAGGTTAAACTGTTCCCTCGGTGTCCTTTTCATAAGGGTCTTCTGAATCGCTCTTTGTCTGGTCCCTCACCCAGGGCCAATTTGCCATGGGAGACCCTACCAGGGGGCAAAAGCCCCCAGACAACATAGCCCCTGGGATCCCTGGGACACACAAACCCCTCCACCACGATAAGGTAGCGATTCAAGGAGGAGTTTTTTTCACCACAGATATATTAATGCTGTTGTACCTGTGTATTAGTAAAGTGTCAGTGTCAGCTTCTTGTGCTCAGTGTCGGTTGTGTTTTGTGTCACTGAATAGTCAGTTCTAGTTGTCATGAACATATTGTATTTTCTTTTCAGCCAACCTTAAAATTCTCAGATGCAGAAGATTTGACGACCACTGAAACATGCCAAAATTCATGTGAAGAGTCTGCTGAAAACAACAGTGGTAGGGCAGCTTTACTTAAGTAGGGATGACCCTCGTGCAATACATTTTACTTTAACATGTACAATATTTTACATATCCTAAATGTATGAAATATTAGGAAGCCCCCTCTGAAACAAACTAATAAAAATGTATTTGGTCTCATTAATTTGAATCAGAATTAAAGCTGATGGTATTTTGTACATTGCACGAGACAATATCACTGATATTGTAAATGGCACTGTGGTAACTGTGTGTAGGCTTTGTCCCCATGGCCACTGAGAGCCGACTGGCTCCTGTGCCTGGCCCTGTTCCCCACAGCTATCCAGTCAATCAGGAACTCCAGCTCCCAGAGGCCTTCACTTCCACCGCCACACACTTCACCCCCATCATCCTGACCAGTGAAGGAGGTTTAGAGGGGGGGGACCAGCATTTTTCAAATGACACTGAAGGGTAGGAATACAAAAGTGATATTACGGCTTTACATTATATTAAACAACAATGATCAATCTATTTGTAAAACAAAGGTTTCAGAACCATTTTTGTAAATACACTAATGTGCTTTTTTTCCTGAGCGTTAGATGGGAGGCTGGTTAGCCTAGCTTAGCACAAAGGCTAAAATCAGAAGAAAAACAGCTAGGGTGGTTCTCTTTAAAGATAAAGGCCTAAAATTGGGCCGTACTAGCAAACACTTTTTAAAGCAATCAAATCATTTTGATAGTATAAACCAAAATGTCAAAACCACAAGCTGTAATTTCACGTTGACCTTCTTATTACGTATAGTTACTTGTTGTCATTGTCATGGTCATAAGAATGTTTGTAAATGATCTGGCAATGAAAATAAAAGTCACTTGTTGATCACTTGACACACCAGCTCTGGTTTTGGGAGCTTGGATCACATAAAAGCAGAAAAATTTCGTCTTTCAATTGTTTTGTTTTTTTGGGGTTTTTTTTAGATGGGGACCTGGTCTGTGACCACTTGCAGGCCGTTGCCATCTGTAAAGCAATATTGTTGCAATATAAGATGGTGACAAGACAGCAATAGCATGCAGTCAGTCAACACATTGCTCTATGTATTAAACAAACATATACATTTTCTGTTGGTATTAGTGTCTTACAGGCACATATATAAAAATATATCAACAAATGGTAACATTTCACTTCTCTAAATCTTGGTAAGCCAGTGAATGAAAATATTTTCCATGAATGCTGAGACAGTTTGGTAAAGTATATAGCTATGATCCATCAAAAAGTAAACAAAAAAAACATTTACAATAAATGTTATGCACCTAATACCTATGAGAAATGATTTGATTGACTGTCTATTTTACAGGACTATGGATGGATTCACCAAAGGCAGGGATCAAATTGTGAAAAGCAGCCTCGATTTCACTCCACCCTCTGAGTACCAACTTCCTCCACAAACTGAACCCAATCTCCGTACTCAGGAGAAAACTACATCTTTTACAACTTCTAGCAGCAAGATGCTGGTCGACTCCCCTTCTGCTCTCCCTGATATATCTTATCTCGAAGTCTCTGTTTCTCTGCCATTATCCACTAACCTCAATGGTTGTGGTATTTTCAATAATTACCTCTTTCGGCAGAACCCCACAACAGGGCATCTTTCTCTAGTGCCTGTGCAGGTCAAGGCTCCCGAGTCTGTCCTCGGGTTGGATATAAATCTCTCCTTGGTCCCTCAGCCTTTGCAGGGGCTAATCACAGAGAGCACTGATGGTTCGTTTATTGACTGTCTTAATGTGCCTGTTAGGCCTGGACCACAGGAGTATGAACCACCATCATCACATTTTAGTGGAAGCTCAGTCATTTCCGACTCCTGCATGGAGCACAGTGTGCTTGGAGCATACAAGGTCCAAACAAATCCAAGAACACAAGGTGAGAACCAGTCTGCTCGAACATCCAGCTCCCCAGATGTCCACCCTGCCTTAAAGGAGGTGATCGATCTGTTGAAGGGGGAGTTTTCCCTTGATGGATATTTGAACAATGGGCATGAGGACATTGCCATGGGTATGTATCTACAGATAGTTATATTTATATCTGTGGGTAGGCATTGGATTTCATAAGAATTTAAAGGATTCCGATTCCATAATTGATATTACTTTTTGGTTTGATTCCTTATCGATTCATGTTGAGTTCTCATTGGCTCCGCTTTGAGAGTCACGACCATATCTAAGTAGTATTAGTATTTTTGCATCTTAGAGGTATTTCTCCTATTTGCTGCGATCAGTGTTGGGGTCATTATTCCAAAAAAGTAGCCTAACGTTTTGAACATATTACACAGAACACTTTTCTTAAAAGTAACACACTACGTTACTTAATTACTCCCAAGGGAAAGTCGTTATACTACTCGTTACATTACTTTTACGTTTCTTTCTTCGGTTTGTTGCCTGTTGAAGTTCAGGGTCTGGTTATGACTGAGTATTAGGGCCACATTAAGAAAAAAAAATTGTTAATCGTTTTGAGAATAGAACTTAGAACTTAGAACTTTTTTATTGTCAATGTACATTTTCTTGCACACTGAAATTTGGAAGCAATACCACAAAGGTGTGAAAGTAAAGAAAACAATATACAAGAAAGAAGAAGAACAGACAATATAAGAACACCATGTCGAAATTTCGCAATTAAAGTCAAAAAGAGAAAAAGAGAAAAAAAAAAGTCAAAATGTGGAGATTGCCATTGTTGTTTCACGACAAACTGCCACCTTTGCTATACCCTTTAGAAAATGCCTTGTGTAGATGAGTTAGTGAAACAAATCTATCAGCCGTCTTGTGATATAACATACATCCTCTTTATTTATACGTGCATTATGCTGCTAATGCAACTTCAGTTCAGCTCTTTGCAAGCCCCTGTATAGACAGCATGCTAATGCTAAGCAATAAAAATAAAAGTAATGTCTAGATCCACGCTGCAGACTGTTTGTAGCTCAAGTGCAAGTGGAAATGATAAGCGGGATTGATACGCAAGCAGACAAACAATTCCAATGAATTGGACTACTGTGATCAATTTCTCTACAGAACCCAGGTCTGGAGACTCATCCTTATCCGTGGATAGTATAGTCAATCCAAAACAGATTGCAAAAGTAAGGATTATACAGCAGGGAGAAACATTGAAGTAGCTAATTTCCTTTTATCAATCTTTTTAGACTAATAAATGGAAAAATATAATAGTACACGGTCTGGCTTCTCCACCGTATGTGCAAACTTTGTAAGATTAATGCAATCATAATCATAACATTAGCAGTTGAATTATATCAATAAATAATAGAAGAATATATACAGTGCTTTATTAACAGCTAATTAACAGTCAAACAACACCCAGCTTAATTTGACAGGGTAAAATCCATTCTTTGGTAGTCCACTCATAATAACATAAAAACCTCAACTGATTTAAATTTGATAGATCTCTTCTTCAGAGTTTTCTCTTTGTGCACACTGGGACTTTTCCCAGCATTGCTATTACTTCTTCACTCTATGGAAGTCCCCTTCTGATCACTTTGAGTAAGTCAAACTATAACCCAGAGACCAAATGCAAGTTTGTTCCATGCCAACACAGCACTCCAGTCCCAAAGGGTGCTTCATCGAGTCAGGAATGCGACCGGAAGCATGCATGTTCTGTTTTGCTTTTGCATTTTGTGATCACACAGTGTACAATGTTCCTACATTTACTTGGCAAACATGTAACACTGTTGCTTCCTTTACTTGCCTATATTCTGGGAATACTAGATACACTATTTGGACAGAAGTATTGGGCCACATCTTTGAATTCAGGGGCTTTTTGCCACAGTTATGTAAAAATCAAGCATGTAGCCATGCAGTCGGCCTATACGTACATCTATGAAAGAATTAGTCATTCTGAGGAGTACACTGAATTCTGCTGTTATAGGATGCCACTATTACAATTATTATTGCAAAGTGGAATGGCAAGTCAACCAGAAAGCACCACATAAAGTTACAGAGTGGGGGGGTCGCCAATTGCTGAGGGGAATAGTGCATAAAAACGCTACGCTAACTCAATAACTGTAGAGTTCTAGACCTCCTCTGGCATTACCATCAACACAAAAGCTGTGTGCCAGGAACTTCATGACATAGATTTCTATGGCTGCAGTTCCTGTAGTTGTAATGTGGAGGTGGCCCACTACTTTTGCCCATATAGGGTAGACTTCAGTGTTATAAGGAATAGATGCCCCGAAGTCTAAGATTGTAATGTTCTATTAATGCCAGTTTGCATTTTTATTGCACTGATTTTCTTTTTCAGACATATTCATTTGAAAATCTGCTTTTCATTTTCCGAGGGGAGTTCATCTTCTCTTTGAGGGACCTCCAATACCAGGCGTTTGCCAGCATCGTGAAGGAGAGATTCACTGATCTCTACTGGGAAGATGACTTACTGGGTGTATTGCATTGCTTGGTAAACTGCAGCACTTCCACACTGTAAGCATTTTTTTCCTCATATCGTTTATCTTTTTAAACAGTGGTTTTGGTTCGGGGTTTTTTTTTTTTGTTTGCTTGTTTTTTCTTGTAAAGACAGTGCCTGTTGTTTAAGCTAATGAAGTGAGGCATAAATAAACTAATATTAACTCCTTATATAAAGGCTTTTAAATGCTCTAATAACAACACAGTATTATTAATTGATGTTGCTTAGAAATAAAACAGTCACCTTGAGATCATTTGACTAGTGTAATATGAATAAACATGGTTTCTGAATGTTATCTTGCAGATTATTCATACAGATACAGATAATACAGATAATATTGCATATCATGATTTTATTTTGATGTAGTTTAATTTGAAGACATCACCTTGGCCTCTGGTAAACTCTTATAGGCATGTTTTCCAAAGTTTTAAATTAGGACCATTATGGAAATAACTGGCAAAATACAGACCCTATTAATTGATTTATAATAGACAGTTAGATTTCTAATTTAAGATAAAGCCATGTGGCAGGAGAATGGAGGTAGCTTATTTACATGTGCAACGGTGCAGAGTACAAAGATGTTGGAATAAGTTATGGGATGGAGTGCTGATTAACGATGACATCTTCTCCTCTGCACGCTTTCACATTCAAAGCCAACATTAAAAAGAAACAAACCTTCTTTTGCAAACCTCGCCAACCACATTAGCAGCTCCTATGGTAATAGCTATGCGGTAAGTTTTTCGGTACAAGTGCTATGTCAACACATTTAAAGCTCTTTCTGCATTGTTACTGATATACTGACAATTAGCCTTGGGCATTGGGTAGACTTAAGTGTATGGATGAATGCATGCATGTATTTAAACATAAGAAAGAGACGAGCACGGAGGCGAGCCTGTCACTTCTTTCAGACGTCTTTTCATCCAGGCGTTGCTCATGCTCTTGTGCTCAGGGCAATATGACAGACCCTTTAATCTGCTCTGGTAGAGACGACACAGCTTTGTAGAGAGATAGACATGTTTTTCCTCTGGCTGTGGGCTCGTTCACAGGGCTCAGCTGTGAAGGGTTTCTCCACTGCTTCAGTTTCTCTGAAGGGATTGAGGGACTTGATGAAGACACGCTTCATTCTAACCCTGACAAGGACTGCAGTGGTCTGTTTTGGCACAGTATTAATTGTGCGGCTCAGTTGGTGTAATTTGCAAGTGCATAATGTTACTGATAAGCTCCAGGATGTTCAGTGGCTGCCTTGTTTCATTCTTTGCGAGTTTTCCATTGGAGCCAGTATTCTAGTACATTATTGATTAAAGTAGCAAATCCGTTGTGAAGTTGAGTGCTGTATGTGCTTTGCATTGTTGACTGTTTCAGTTATTATCATCACCATGTGTGTTTTCTCTGAATTGCCTATTACCTGCTTACTTGAATGCATGTCATTGGCAATATTCCCCCAGTTAGTGCTAATTATTATTTGCTTTGAACATGCTGTGTGTTTTCTGTGCCCCGTGCAGCAGCTCTAATGATCAGCCTCCATCAAAGGCTGTGAAAAGGGCAACCGTTACCCCATCCTCGATAGCCGCTGTCAGGAGAGGGAAGAGAGAAGTTTGCCTGAACAGCTGTCTCGATCTGAATGGAAACTTCCGCCCGTCCAGTCCTGTTGCTGGGGATTTTTGGGAAGAAACCAAGGCCCAGTCCTGTCATGCAGAAAATAGGACTGTACTCGAGGATGTCAGATTGAGTTCAGAGCAAAATCAGCACTGCATCAGTGAAGGTAGGAGAAAGATTTGGTTGTTGACCTCTATCTCTTTTTTATTGGAGAGTTCTCACAGTCGGTTATATTTTGGATCCGTTTCTGAAATGCATAGGCTGAACTGGATGAACAAATCAAATAAAAGTGCTCCCTCTCAGGCTCTGAGCATCACCTGTTTGAGCCCGCAGACTGAGGTTTTCATCTTCAGCTGTGAGTGATTGAGCCAGCCATGATTTCCTTTGAGATACATTTAAATTCAGCATATAATCTGATTTTAAAAATGGCATGTGAGGAAGATGGGATTGTTTAAGTTACAAACCTGCTCCCATAAATAGATTAGGGATTAGGAGACATTACTGCTGCTTACAGGAAATGTTGCTTTTTCACTTGCTCAAGTACAAGTAAAATAAACTTGTAACTAAGTACTATGTGCAAGTGCTGCATTGTAACACAGTACAACAAGCGCAGTACTTTTTTTTTCTTCTTAACTAAGTAGATGAAGGGATTTGATATTCGTGCAGATTCTGTCCTGTTTTTAGATATCAAACTCCACCCTCTCTGTGATGTTTTGGTATATTTCTATCGCCTTGGCTGCTGACTGCAGTCATGAGGGCCATTGCCGGCTGTTGGATGCTGTTCTTAAGTTTGCGCCTCATTCAGAAGGGTCCAAGGCGTGCTAGCAAACTTGCAAAGGCTTTTTTTTTCTTCTCCCTTTTCTCTGAAACTCATTCCCGGTCAGTGACTTTCACACAAACACACACTTGGGTCTGTTTTTGTCATTACTGAAGTATGTTAGACATGGGCTGTCTTGATTACAGACAGGCTCTGAACAGATACTTGAAATTAAAAAAAAAGGATAGTGACTGAACTGTGAATTGGTTTAAGGGCATCTGTTAAACAGTAAGTGCATTGTGCAGCCACGAGAGGGTTAGCAACAAACACCCTCAGCGCCACCCTTGGATCTCTCCCTCTCTCTCTCTGTCTCTCTGTTTACTTCACAAATCCAGTTTGCCTTTTTTATACTCTCCATGTGATCCAATCCCTCTCTCTCTCTCTCTCTCTCTCTCTTCTGTCTTTATTTACAGTTCCAGGCGTGAACGCTGACAGTTCAGACTTGGGGGTCATGGAAGGAAGAGGTCATTCAGTGGGGGGCAGCGATGAAAGCCCCTCTGAAGCTGAGGTTCTATCAGAGAGAGAGGAAAGGCTTACAGGAGCCCACGATGAGCAGATGAGCCCAGACTGCTCCGAGGACATGGAGGACAGCGACTCCGTGGCGTCTGAGCGGCTTCTCTCCTCCGGTTTCAGAGCAGAGGGTCTTGGCCTCATTTCGAGCCCGGACTGGGCCTTGGCCTTCTTCGGCGAAGAGTGCTTTAGTCCCGATGTGATCCAGTATGCAGGGAATCTGGGACAGCACACAGGATCGCCATGTCTGGACGTAAAAGCACAGGTGGGTAAAGCTACGATGGCCACCGCCTCTGAATCATCCCTGACCTTAACCCTGAGCGTTTGAACGAACGGGAGATGCCATGATTTATTTATCACCTTTTCATGCCGCTTACATTAAATGTGTATGTATTAAATGTTATGCAATTTCAATGGATTATTCTATAAATTCATGTAAATGCAAATGTTTTATCGCTTTTTTAAGGCATTTGAAAAAAACTAATAAATACAGTCTTCTGTGCCCTGAGCCGAGATAAGTTATTTCCATCAAAATATCCTCGAAGTTAAAGTTTAAATCGTTTTGGTTGTGCTGCTTGAGGTTGAAATCGAGTGCTTCTCTGTTTCATTCAGCTCCTCACCTGGTCGAGTTTTTTGATTAAGCGTGGGACTTATTTTCCTATCTGTAATGAAGTGGGGCACGGTCAGGCTTTGGGGTAAATAGGACGAGAACATGTGGGGGACTTTAGGGTAATTGGCATATTATTCTCTCCAAACTGGATCTGAATATTAATATGTTGAACTTAGCCCCTCAGCAGAGAAAGTTATTATCATTTGCAAAAGAATATTAATGAATCATCCTTGTGTTTGAGCGCTTTGATGGCACCACTGCTCCTTCTGAAGGTTTGCGTGAAAGCTAATAAACGTACCTTAAGAGCTGCGATGCTGCGACTTCTTACTCAGTTCACTTCAAAAGAGCTGTTGCTTTCTGTTGCCACGGTGAAGAGAGGACAAAAAAAAAACAAAAACACTGGCCCATACACACTTAAAACGCCCGACGGCTTCTTTCAGCAGAAGGCATGTGGTGCAGTTTTAGGGCCTTTGTATGATTCTGTGTGATTTCCTTTGAACAGGAACTGCAGCAGCAGCTTGTAATTGAAACAAGGAATCTAAAGAAAACAAGAAATTTCTACCAGAAGTTGATTCAACAAGAGAGGAAAAACAAAGGTTGGGTGCTCGTTTTAACACGCCGCAGGAGTATGAAAATGGCAAAATGCTGTGTTTCTGATACAGCATGTAAAGACTGTGTGTGTGTATTGTACCTTTATTGTATTCCAAAGGTCCTGAGAGCAAGCCAATGCTCTTTAAACTCAAGTCACAGCTCGAGGAACTCAGGTCCAAAGTAGCCTTCTTGGATAGTGTGAAGAAATACCTCGAGGTACAGAAGCTTACCCAAAAATCTTATGCATCATACTTAACAACCCAGTTCTTGTAAGCTTGATAGAATTTCTTTCATTTCCACAGATTCTCAGTGTGGATCAGTGGGGTTTGGAGCTTTCGTTGCTCCCCGCTTTGGCTGTCTGTGAACTCGAGTCGTTGGACCTCGAGTCCTCAGAGGACATTTCAGTCTTGAGTTTTGGTACCAGCAAAGGGAAGAGCACTCTGCAGGCTGGATCTTCTCTGGGCCTCATGGCATACCTCTACGCCAGGTACATTTGATTGAGGGTCGATTTTCTTTTCTTTTCTTTTTTTCTAGTCAAGTTTTACAGTGCTGTGATCCAGGTCATAGGCTGAGTTATTTAACCTTCCGTCTGCTTTTTATGTGTCCAACAAAGGGATTTTACAGAGTCAAAAGAGTGTATTCACTTACAACGGGAAACTTAAGAATATATTTGATGTTTTATTGATGTGTTTTTTCTAAAATAAGGCCTTTATTACAGCTGGAATTTTTTATTTGCAGGGTATTTTTTCTCAGTAATGCTGACTAATTGTAAGGATGTCAGCATACTACACTTATATACTATATTGGCTGATAGGCAGCATACCTGCTAAACTTGAGGGCTTAAAAATTTGAACTAGGTACGAAACATTTGATCAAAAGGTGCAATTAGTTGAAACTGGAAGTGCAGTTTTTCTCTGATTTGCATTCTGGTTGGCTGTGAAGTCACGCTCCACAGTAATCAGCTGAGCTCACGTCCAGCTGACGGCTCAGGTGATCCCCTTTTATTACCTCTAGGTGATATTATTGTAATTTATTATATTTTTGTTTGAGCCAATAAAGACTACACAAACTACAGCTTGTCCAAAAACTCAGAAACCAGACTTTCCTCTATTTTAGCTTCGCTTCATTGGTTATTGGTTAATTGATTTGGGGATTTTTTTCTGTGAAATTTAAGGCCCTTTCTGGGCTCACACCAAGCTGTGTTTCAGCTCTCCTGACACCGTTTGCGCGTAACCTGAGGTCCTCAGCCGAAGCTCTTCTGGTCGTCCTGCAGTCTCAGCTGAGGTCCGAGAGCGATGGGGCTTCTTCTGTCAGGGCATGCGCGCTTTGAAGCGGTTTCCCTCCTTCCTGCATTTTTCGAGTTACCAGTTGTGTGATTGTTGTGACGATCATTTAAATGAGCGGCGTTATTGCACTGGGTGGGACATGTAACCGTATCGTCAGTGGAATTAACCTCAAACAGCATCAGCTGTAAGATCTACAATAGCTTCTTAGCTCGGTCAGATAGCATTTGCAGTGTTTCTTCCACCTTTTTGTCTTTCTGCTGTCTTCTCCTGTGCTTAAGAAACTTTTAAGGCTCTCAAACATCATCCTCCACACATCAAACTGTTTCCCCTTAGATCCCTCCAAGATTTTGGGGGCTTTATTGCCAGTAGTACAACTTACAGACAATTTTGGCATTTTTTTGTCCTCAACAATTGGCTCACAGATTTTAGCTTTTAATTTGCCTTAAAGTCAAAGTGCAGGTTCAGCTAAACACAGAGGGTCTTTATAAATTCCCATTTATCTGGCCGCTCACATGAGACCCACCACCACTGACAATGTTGTGATTTTAGTGACGTCACTGCTCCCTCACGTTGAAAGGAGTCGTTAAAGTAGCTTAGGGCACCTTGGAAGGATCTCTCCCTAAAATGCTTTGTGAAATTTACACATCTGTGTGGGAAAAGATCCAGATGTAGGACATGTAGGGTAACTCACATATAGCAGGAAGTTGCTTCAGAGTTCCTTCAACTTCACCTCTTGTATGTTATATTTGCCGGGTCTGGACGGTTTGCGAATGTTTTTATATTCCTTTCTGTATATTATGTATCTGTTCTACATATCGTGTTTCTTTTTTTTCTATATATCATGTTTCTAATAATGCCTTGTGTTGATTTCTAATTAGTGTCTCTATGATTGTTTTCATCACAGAAATGCAGCTGTGGAGGGCTACATCCAGCAGTTCCTGTATACGTATCGTTTCTTCTGCACTCCTGAGCAGTTACTGCAGTTCATAATGAATAAATTCATCTGTGCTGTAAGGTAAAGTACAACCAGCAGCTCAGGACGACAGAGGAACAGCTCTGAGCAGTGTGCAGTTCCAATTCTTCCAATAAATGACTAATCAAAATGTGGCACACGGTATGAAACACGTTACATGTGGGTTTTATTTCTTTTCCCATTTCAGGGAGGGACCTGATTTGTCAGGAGACAGTGAAAAGGTTTTCCATCGGAGTTTGCACTTGCTTCACTTCTGGATAACAGACTGCAGAACAGTGGACTTTGTGCCTAACTCCAGCCTCGTGGACGTGTTAGAAAAGTTCCTTAATACTGAGGTAGCCAGATATGTACACACTGTGTACAGCGCCATTCCTTTGAATGAAAAATATTCTCAAATATTCTCCATTTAATGCTTCCACAGGTGATTCCTGTAGACAGCCAAGGGGAAGCCTTGCTTATTGGTCTTCACAGCCCGCTGAGTATGAGTGCAGCAAGCCATCTGACAGGGAGCCTAATCAGCTTTGACGAAGTCGATGACTCTGGGTGTTTGCATTCATCTACTGAGGATCTTGGGAAAAAGGTCAATATTTACATTCTTGTTGTTGAGCCAAATTTCATCTTGATCTATTTTCCAATAAGATCAGATCCCTTAACAAGAAGTCTTTATTGCCCTAAACATGGCTTCCCAGATTTCTAAGCCTCTGTGTGAACTTTGCAGTGGAGGATCTCGCGAGTGGTGGAGCCCTCTGCATCCATGTCTAAAGAGAAGGCCTTCTCCATTGCTGTGGCTCTGCCCATGCCTTGTCACCGCTCCCTGATGGATGAGCTCTCCAGCACTTGCTTGCACAATGAAGAACGACTGCCCTTCAGCCAAAATGAGTACAGTGCACAGCACATAGCCCAACAGCTCACGCTCCTGCAGCAGGTAGCACACCATTTATGTGACTGGTACACCACCTAATGTTGTTATCATTTCAAGCCACTAGAGGGAGCCGTGTCTCTAAGAATTCACCAGCTTGTCATGTTGCATCTTGTATTTGTAACTCTTGTAATGCAGGAAATGTTCCAAGGATGCCATCCAGTTCATTTACTCAACTCCAGAATACAAGGAGTCAGGGACAAAGTCTCAACCCCGAACAAGTGAGTACAAAAGCTATAAAGCCTGCATTAGAGAGCCTCTGAAAGCCTCTGAAATAGCTTTCACAGCACCTTGGCAAACGATCAGAGGTCTCTGGCCCTCTATTATGAAAGGATTTTTAGGTGCAGAGCATTTGAATGTTTATGCACAATCACCCACAGCTGCTCAATTGTGCTGAGAAGTGTTGCCTGTGAAGGTCGCAGTGTATGATTAACATCATTTTCATACCCCATCAAACATTCAGTGACCTGTATAGAAAAACTGTTCAGTGTCCCCACTCACAGATTCACTTCATTTCTTTCTCTGCTGTTTCTTCCAGTCTTTATGCAGAGTGTGTGTTCCATATACAAACACCTGTTTGTACTTCTTCTCTGCACAGTACATGAAATACTAAAATTATCATATATCTATTTAACCATATGCATACTGAAGATTTTACTTATAAAGTTTCCATCAACACCTAGGTCTGCTCTACATTCTACTTATTGGAAGGCTGGTAGTTCGCTAACTGGCTACTACAATCTTTGGCAAGAAACTGAACCGCAGCTTGCTCCTGATGAGTTCATCAGAGTGTGAATGTGTGGGAAGCACACAGACGTTGGACGAGGGAGTTGGCAGGTTAAAGACAATTTAGTTGTGATACTGAGCTCAAACTAAACTGCCTAATCTTCACTGGCTCATTTTCCAGAATACACCTTTAGGTAGGGCTGCTCGATTATGGCAAAAATGATAATCACGATTATTTTCACTGAAATTGAGATCTCGAATATTTGACGATATTTATTTAACCCTTACGACCTACTATAGAACCAAGTCCGCCAGAGCTTATATTATTTTTTACATGTTGTAGTGCCATTTGTGGGAGCATCTCAAGTTGCTATACAACTGTTATAGCCCATATTTTAATAATATGTATGCATTAAGTCCATAGTAAATACATTAATTGCAAAAAAGTGCAATAAACTACAAAAAAATTGAAAATCATTTTTGTTTTGTTTTTTTACATATATTTCTACTTGGAGAAATTTAAGAGGTTTATCCCTCAAAACTTTAAATACAAAAAAGTTGCAAAAATAGTTTACACTAACAGGAAATTTATTGTGAGTGTCTTCATAGTTTTATTTTGGAGATACACCAATTTTTATATACTGCAGGAAAAACAAAAAAACAATCCTATGATGCAAATTTGCAAAGAAAACAGCATGTGCATCAAAATAAACTATTTCCAGCAGTGCAATTCGAGTTCTAAGCATCCCAGAAACTATTCAGAAAAGTCAAACATGACCAGTATAGGCTTTTAAGGCCTACAAGTAAAAAACTACAACTTCCGCGAAAATGACGTCACTTCCGGTTTCGGCCAGGAAATTGCGGACATGCGATAGTTCGCGCTGACATCTGTTTCACTGTGGGAAGTGTTAAGAACAGCTGGTCGGATCGGCAAAGCGTGTTTCTGGAATATTATGTTTTTGTTCCTGCAAGCGCTTTTTATGCAGTTTTTGCAAAGCTTTATGTGGAAGGAAACCGTGACCGAGGACAAGCTGATGGCATCAGATGTAAGTACAACTCCTCCGGTTTCATATGCAAAACAAATTATTGCGCTAGCTTACGTGGTTCAGGTACAGGGATTTAAAAATAGTTACGCAAAACGGAGCGTGCTGCTCTGACCGGCTTTAAAGGGTTAACAATGACTTTAAAAAATAATATAAAATAGTGTGCAACACCACTGAAGTTTTTTTTTACCTCTCTTTTCAACCAACGGCAGTCACTCTCCTCTCCAAATAACTTCTGCTTAGCTTTCCGAGCTTCCCTCGGGTCCTCTTAATCAGCGGTCTCCAACCTTTTTTGCGCCACGGACCGTTTATGCCCCACAATATTTTCACGGACCGGTGTTGTGCCAAAAAGTGATTGTCTGCCAAAAACTGATTTCCGGTATTTGCCAAAAAGCAAATGCTCATATTTAAAGTGCTATAAGTAACTTGTTGGGCTATAATATGTTAAACATATGTCAAATGCATCCCTTATGGATGACATAAAGACATAAAAATAAAGTTCTATCTTATCTTATCTTAATCGGCTCAGTCATTTTTAATGATCGTTGAAAGTCCAGATCGTAATCGTGATTAAAATTCGATTCATTGAGCAGCCCTACCTTTAGGTCAACATATCCTCCAGTGTCAAAGGTCTTTGGATCCACCTTGGACAATACTTTACTGCACACAGTAGTGTTTCACTTTCAATCTGCTTCCACCCACACTTCTACAGCTTTTCCTTTTGCTTTAGGAAGAAGGGTAAATAAAAGATTAAATGACAGAAAATTTCCTGTTTTTCATATCTGCTATGGAATTTTTTTTACAGTCCATCCATGGCAAGAATTATTTTCTGCGAATTACCAAATTCTTCATTTTTATAAATACAACACACTTTGAGCAATGAGCTCCCGGGACATTTTCTGCAATTACACATTTACGACGGAAAAAACCTGTTTAGTTAAATGTTTTTACACTGACAGAAAGAGGAGTTTCACTGGTGTGGCCCACTTAATATCACAGTGGGCAGTATGTGGCCCACCATGAAAAATGAGTTTGACATCCCTGAACTAGACTCTGTGAAACAGTTTAAATCACAACTCTAAACCCACCTGTAGCAATCATTTCTGTGGGCTCTCACAACGCTTGACCTGAGCGTTCATCACAGTTAAACTTTGACTGAATGGTATGCATGTGGCTAGTTCTGCTTTTATAGTCGAACAGAATTTAAAGAAAGTCAAGATTTTAGATTTTAGTGAGTTTAAATTTGGCAGAAAAACGCTGTTACTGCTTTACAAAAGACACAAACAAAGAGGAGCTATGAATAACTGTGGGCTTCACTGTGTATCAAATGTAAATTGTGCAGTTATGTCTTGTAGTGTGTGGGTGGGACGACTCTTCAGGTGACATCTAGAAAAACATGAAAGGTCCAGGTGAATGCCAGATAAACAAAGTATAATATTTTCCACAAGTGGAAGTACCCATCACAGCTTCCCTGGAAAAATACAAAATTTGAAAATCTAAAGATGTTCTTTAATACATGGGATTTTTGGTGGGCGCTTACTTAGAGCCATAAAATCCAGTGAAGATTTTCCGACATCTCACGCTCTCCTAACAGAAATGTGTCGCAGCATATTCCACCAGCAGAGGGGAGCAGTGGGCTTGCACGTGAGGGGCCAGCTTCAGAGAGCTACCTTCAGCGGCTGCTCACGTACGCTGATAGTGTCACTAACTGGATCTCTGCTGAAATAGTCATCTGCGACTCTGTCAAGGTGAGAGGACTCATAACTCGGTGGGAGTTTATTCCCCGGTGAGAATAAAAGGGAGTGATCGCTGTCACAGCGCGGGCTTTGATTTCTCACGTGAACTCTGGTGTCAGTCACAGGCTGAAAGTAGCTTCTTTATTTAACTGTTTAATAAGTCTCACAAAAAGCCGAGCAAACCAATGAGAATACATCTTGAGAACACACTAGATGTTCAGCTGTTTTAGGACTTATCCGTGCACTTTGGAGCATTTTTCACACCGTTATGACAAATACTCTGACTATTTAAAGAGCACTTAAACTATCTTTGCACTTCCTCACCTCAGCTTTACCTCATTCTTTCAGTTATTTGTGTTGCTTATGATTTCTATGACAAGGACAACAGCTTTCATTGCTTCCCAAAAAAGCAGCTCCTGGACAAATGTGGATTCACTCCTACTGATTTAAGCTGTCCTCATAAAGGAGCTTCAAGTGCAGCTCTCAGATGAACACTTTCCACACACGTTAAATAATTTTCACATCGATATCTTTTTCAAGAAAGCAGATGAGTAATAGATAAAACATAGTGTCCACAAAGCACTTTGACATGTAACATTTTTCATATATTGCCAGTGTACGTGTGTATTAATGCAGCCTGAGAGAGCTGCGTGATTTTAGCATTTTGCTTTGTCTGCCTTTTTTTGTTTTGTTTATTTTTGTTTCTCTTGCAATCTCTCCTCCCCTGCAGAAGCAAGTTGCTCTGCTGACCAAGTATCTGTGGATAGGAAAGCACTGCTACGAATCGAGGAACTTTTCCACGGCCATGCAGGTCCTCGGAGGTCTGGAGAACGTGATTGTCAGGCAATTACCGGTAAGGCTCCGTGGCAATGCTTTCCTCCTCACACAAGTTTGTGCAATAACTTGCTGCCCCTCAAGCTAAATGTTTCCCTCTACTGCGAGAAGGTTTGGATGGTGTTTAATTAGTTTCACAAATAAAAAAATTCAAATTAATCTATTCAAATAAGATGTAGGAAGAACAAACACAGCGAGGAAGAATGTGCCCCCCACCCCCCCACTCTGAAAAGCAGTGATTAAAAAAAACAACAAAAAAAACAGAGTTGGGGAAAATAGGAGAAATTTCCATATATCCATCTGCAGGGAGGTGCCGTTCACTGAGTGTTGCTATATGGAAGCTGCTGTTTTGGTAATGATTAATAAAACTACTGTTGCCTTTGCCAACAGGCGTGGAAACATCTGTCGTCCAAGGTGTGTGAGATTCTGGAGGAGCTACGAGCTGTGCAGGTGTGTGCGTGTGTGTGTGTTTGAGCATGAGCACACACGGATGGTGTTTGTAACTGAAGGCTAGGATGGCCACATATTGTGAAACTGGGCTGCAGGGCAAACAAATCAATAGAAAAACAGCTTCGAGCTACTTTCCCGGGTGTCGTGTGCTTACAGCTGGTTCTCCTGCTCCAAGTTGCTCAAAAAAAACCAAAAAACCTGACACATTACACAAAATGAAACACTTGCCGACTTCTCTATTTTAGCTGTAATAGTTTGTAGGATAAATTGCGTGGCCTATTGACTATGAAATGTCCAAAGGGTTGACTTTTTTTTTCTTTTTAATCTTCCGAGGCTCTCGCTATCACCTCTGCACTGGACTCCATCAAGTATCTTTGACCTGATTTTCTCTGCCAGTAAGAGCGTATTTATTCACTGTGTGGATGTATTGCTTCCTAATCAGGTTTTTCTGAAGAGTGATGATCTGTGTCTTATGGGAGGTGAACATACAACAAAGAAGCCCACGCTGCCCTCAGCCCACATCCTGGCTATGCACGTGCAGCAGCTAGAGATCGGAGCTTTCACTCTCACCACCGGGGCTTACAAATGGACCAAACTGAGGTACGCTGTGTCTGATGTATGGTATAGTATTTATGGTACTATCTTGCTAGCCTGCTCACCTTTGGATTTTTATCGTAAATAATAAAAACAGTGTCGGATGTGAGGCATGACCACTGAATGCCCCCCTCCCCCCCACACGCACTCTACTTCTGTAGGTAGCCTGAGCTTCTTATATAATATTACGCAACAGTATATTTCTAACTAACAAGGCAGCATATTCAGGCTCTCTTGACAGGTACTTTCTTTAAAGATAGAACATGTTTTGGGGTCAAGAAAGAAGTCAAATGTAAAGTGTCAGATGTGACATATTTGCGATATTAATATCCCCATATGTCAGTGTAATCTCCTAAATTTTGCAATGCAAACGAAGGCAGAAAATTTTTAAGTGCAATTTAAAGATAAAAGACACGTTATTAAAGTTTGACCTTATTTAACCTTGAAGAAAACCTCTGAGGTCTGAAGTCATGTGATATGTAGAATCCCAACATACATAATTCCCTACTTGTCTACATGTTGTGTTACAAACAATGGCAGTAAAACAGATAGTTTTAAAAAGCTCTGCATAGCATTTCTATCACTTTGACTTTCTCAGCCTACTGACCTTGAAGGAGAGGTCAGAGGTCAAACACAATATCTTAAGTCTTCATGCAATACTTTCTATATGATGACAATACACACCACAGTGGTAAATGTCATAGTAGTTCTAAGTTATATGACTTTCTGTCCATCTTCGACCAATAGGGTTAGGGTAAATCACTAAGCTGACCTTGAAGATCTTGGTGACCTCACTTTACACCACTACAAGGTTTTATCAGAAGTCATTCAAAACTTGTTGAGCTGTTGTGTTTAGAGACAGAATGAAACACGCGCTCACAGAAGCTGCCAAATAACATGAGCACCTTGGCGAAGGTAAAAATTAAAATAGTGGTGAGGTAACACTTGGCAAACACATTAAGTGAAAGTATGCTTTTGTTACTACTGATGATAAAACGTTCCTTCCGTCTCATTTCATAGATGCTAATATGGAGTAATATAAGAGCAAGCATGGCTAATTATGTGTACACACATTAGAAAAACACACATGCCAACACATTCTGAGCAGTCATCATGAGGACTGCTAACTAATGACTGCCAGTAACGAACGGCAAGTTGTGCCGGTCGAATATTTGTTGAAACGTGGAATCAAAGTGATGACAAGCAGCCAAAGTCCTACATGTGCATAATTCTCCTTATCAAGATCCCCACAAAAATATCACTAGGAATCATAAAGTGTTATTATACTGCATGCTGGAATTTGCACTAATGTCAGAGTTAAAGGAGTGATGCTGTTCAAACATGCATACAGCCAGTAAAGTTAGCTTGCTACCTGTCCCTGGAGTAACCTAAAGTATGAATAGTTAGTGCCATTAACTTAAAATGAGCTCAGGCCTCATATTCTGTGAATCCATCTACAACAAAGTCAGCCAGCAGGAAGCATTTTCCTGTGTCCTTCTCCTTCGTTCCAATATGGCTGACCAGATGCTGAGGTCACAACACGTGGCGGCTGGATGGTAATGGCACAGCTGTTGAATTCGAGGTGTCGGTTAGGGTAGCGCTAGCACCAGATGGCGCCTGTGGGATGGCGTTTGATTGGAAGAAAAGGTTTCGGGCCAGATGCTGAGAGGTGACGCAGTGTAGCCAGATGCTGGGGTCACGAGCATGTCTAGCAGAGACAGCTGGTTACTGTGGACCCTGGGCTATCCCTGCTCTCTAAACCAGGTCGCAGGCAAAGCTAAGAATGCTGCTTACAAGAAAAAAACACCACCTAGGTATTCTTATAATGGTGTCACTGTTACTTTGTTGTGTCTCCCCATTTCATGTTGTGCTCATCCTCATCGTTCCGTCACTGGTTGTAGGAGCATAGCAAAGGTTGTGAGTCAGGTCCATGCCTTCCAAGAGGCCGTGTACCCTTACAGCCCAGACCGGGACCTGCAGGGCTACCTTCGCCGCCGCATCGCCCGGTTCACCACCTCGGACATCCACCTCTTGGCCGCCAACAGCGATGCCAACTTCCAGCAGTCGAGCGAGCGCCAGACACGGAGGATCCAGGACACACTGAGGAGGGTTAAGGCCACCTTCCAGTGAGACATGCTTTCACAGCCCGGCGTTAGAGGTCAACACCTGGATATGTACGAGCCAAAAAGTGAGGCGCCATGTCCAGACCACAGTGCGCAGACACTCCCTGGTCCCAGACTGGAAAATATTTTCTGATATCAATTGACTGTTTGTCAAAAACACCTTAACTTTAGTCAGTAATATAGAATCTGAGGTGAACTTAGCTAAAAGCTCTGTGTATGAACAGGTTCTGCTGTTGTTCCCACATGCTTGATTTTCATGTTAGCATTTTTTTCCTATAAACCAACAGGAGTAGTGGGTAATTTTTTCTTCCTCAGCTAATACTGACATTCTTCTTCTGTAATTTAGCTGTTAAAACCTGTATGTAAGCATATCTGGACTAAACATGGCAGCTGTACAATGCTTGTCCAACACCAAGATCGGATTAAAAAAGTGAGTTACTGTGCGAGGGCCTAAAACACAAAAAGCCAAAGGTTCTTTATATAGCAGTGTAGTAATATGATCAATTATAAGATATTTAGAATATGCACCATTAAGCAAAATATCAGCTGATATGTGAGGAGCCTTAAGGGGAACTTCCAAAATGACCTTTTTTGGCACCTTTTGGAAGCATTGAAGCATTTGTAAAGATTTTATTTCTGCAAATATTTTTGTTTTATACAGAAACATTAGAAATCCTCTCACTAGTTTCCTCATACCAGTAGTTTGGTTTTCACTTAAATCTCCCGACAACTAACTAACTGACTGTTACAGCTTCACCGATTCTTAACTCTTAATTTAGCGCCGTCGTGAGGTCAGGTTTGTTTCATTAATACTTCAGCTCTGGATGTCACACTTATTAAGTCCCGGGGCACATACGGTATAATTTGATCTTCAATGAGTACAATTTTCACGTCATAACCTTTATTAAAAAAAAAAAGCTTTTCCACACTAAGTAAAGCTGTCATCATCCTTTAATTACAATTTACAGATAAGAGCAGATCTATGAAGTCGAAAAAAACTTTTGTAACTTGTGGTTCTTTTATGATTCAAATAATTTTTCTAGATATAAAACTGCTTTTTCATTTTCTGATACATTTTTACTACAGTGGAGTTATGCTAGCACTGCATGAACACACCAGGGATACTAGTGCATTTTAATAAAAGCAGAAAGAAGAAGTCATTAATGAATTCACAGCTATTTCTATACTTTGGACTGCAGTGGAGCCTCTGGCAGCAAGTTCTGGTTGCATGCTTGACATTTCTGCTTTGAGTTTAGAGCAGACTAAGAAAACTTTGTGTTTACATCTAACTCAAATTTAACAACACATTAAACTTTGAGCGTAAAATGTGGCTTGCAAACTTTAACACTAGCAGCAGTGTCATTGTGAGCATGTTGGACTGCTGACGTTAGCATTTACCACAAAGCATCGATGTGTTGTGATTGTTATAAGAACTGGACGCTGGATTCAAAGACAGTTCCTCCTCAGCAGCAATTAACATGCCTGTCAGCCCATAAGACAAAAAGACACTATTTTCAGGTAAATGATGTCGTCGTGTCACTTCTTTGGGATTTTTATTTTAACCAGAACTGCTCTGGCTACAGTGTTAATCAAATTCTCTTCATTATGATTTTTATTGATCTCAGCTCGATGATTAAACCACAAAGACGGTCTCCGCAGTTTCAATCTTTTAATAGGTACAGTAAGAAAATGCTGCTGTAGTTGAGCACTCAGTGATGCCAACGACATCAAAAAGTTTCAGAATCTCTGGAAAGCAGTGAGCACTGAGCGGGAACTTTTTCCTGTTTCGATTGACACGGCATTTAATTTAGACGCTGTTAATATCATTGGAAATGCAGTTCCTCAAAATGTTCTCGGTTCCTTGGAACTTGTGGGAGATCCAAGTTCTGTTCTGAAGGGAATTCATATGGTTTTCTACACAAACGTGACTGAAATGACTGTGAAAACATAATGAAAGAGAGAACTGTGATTCTGCACAAATAGCAGTCACAATGTAAAGTGAATGCGAGATTATTGAGGACTCCATTATTTCAGCTGATATTGTGCGTACACGGTGCATATTCCAAAATGATTAAAGGCCCGCGTTTCATTATATCACCACACAGCAAAACCTGCAGAGCATGAGTAATTGCATCAGAGGAAAGTAGTGGAGGTAAATAGGTTGCAAACTTTGAATCCAGCCATGTCAGTCATTCAAGTGAAATAAAGCACGATTATTTCTTTTCTTTTTTCCTTTTTAAAGTTCAACACAGAGGTGGTACGAGATTAAGTGGCACAGTTTGGCTCCAGTTGTCCCCGCAGAGGGAAGGCTCGCTTCAGATCCAAAAATGTGTTTCTGATTGATCACCTTATTTTTTTGTATGAAAAATCCTTTCTAGCTATTATGAGATTTCTCTTATCCAGTATTGCAGCGGGCCCATCCACTGCTCCTTCACAGTCAGCAGATCTCAACCTAATTGAGGGGACATTGCAGTCTGATGCATTCTCCAAAACACCAAAAGAGGGGATGGTCTTTGGGGGAATGGTTTTCCATCCCTCCAGTAGCTTTCCAGACACCTGAAAAATCAATGCCAAGGAGCACTGAAGATATTCCTGTGACACATGGTGGGTGAACACCTTTCTAAAACACTTGATGTTGTTTTTCCTCTCGCTGGTCACAAGCCTATAGCTTCTATTTGTTTACCAATTAGGATTTGAAATAAGAATTACATGACTAGATTGATAAATTAAAATATAATAATCCCATTTAAACAGCGCCATGTGTAGTAATTGCATTCATTAAGAATAGCGTGTGGTGAAATGCAGAAAGACACGCTCACAGTCGTGACAAAAACTTGCCATTACCGAGCAAATGATGGAACATAATGAGATGTCGGCATGCAAAATGTTACTCGAGGAATGATGTTCAGCCTGTGTCTGCTGTCTGTTCTCGCACGCGGTGAAACCCAGCGTGGAGATGGAATGTGACGTGCTATGACGATTTGCTTAATATGGCCAAATAAATGAGATTTTATAAACCTTCTCTTGCCAGAGCTCATTATTGTCAGACAACATCCGTGATAGATTGGCCGTATGGCAGGTTAGAGTGCTGTTGTATCAGGCAGAGAGCTGTTGCTTGGGTTTCCGTCTTCCTGCAGTTTACAGGATTAAAATGTCATTTATAGTGTGGGGAGTTATATTATGATGGCTACACTAAGTTTTAAGCTGGAGTAAACCTTCTGACCACAATCTGCTTTTACATTTTTATATTACTCACCAAGCAAGCGTGCCTATCTGCACTGCACATACTGTAAATCATACTGATAACAGCCGTCATTTCAGCCATTTTTTGATCTTAGTAAAAGCTAATATGTGAGATGAATGTGCAGAAATCAGACGACTGTAGAAGTAAAGCTCAGTTTTCCCTCCAACTAGGTGTTTCATATAAATATGAAATGACTGTACACAGCACTGAAATAACTCCTAAAAAACGAAATGTTTCATGTTTTGTGCTCCATTAATTTTGGCAGAAAGTCATTCACTGGCAAATCAGTTTTTAGTATGCTATCCTGCAAACCGGAGGGCACTGAAATTCCATTTTAATCCTTTTGTTAGGCACAAATATTCAGATATTTATGAGCATCCTTTGTGATGAACTGTGTCCTACAGCTGTTGTCTCTGACATCTCGTATGGACGTCTGGGGATATCGGAAACATGTCATCCGTTCAAAGCAAATCTAATATAAGCTCAGTGGGATTTTAAGCATGCAAGAGACTGTGGTGGAGTGTAAGACTGAGGCATAATTTAGGGGTGCTCAGACTTCATACATCTGCTTTACATTTAACTGAAAAAAAATTCTCACTTTTTACTCTATTTAGGATTTTCCAGTAAAAAAAAAATCCCAGTAATAGGATATATGGTTCAGTAACACACTGCAGCCCACCTATTACCCACTGGGTAATTGGGCAATAGAGTGTGTCATGGGTAGTTAAACAGTTATCCCACCAGTGATCCAGGGTCTGATGACTAAAGGCTTCATTTAAACCAGAAGGTCCTAAATGCCTTTATTTCCTGTGTGAGTTTTTTTAAACAAAGATTGATGCTCCAGCTGCTCAAGAATAAACTAAACCAGCTGAGTGACTTTATCCAAGCTAGTGACCCACTAAGAAAAAAAAATGAATACAGTCAGTGCGGCTGTTCCTCTGGGACACACAGAGGCAGAGCTGAGGAAACAGGCTCAGCGTGCAGGCGAGGTCCCGGGCCTTTTTCATTGTTATCTGACGCGATCGGGGCGCATCTTCAAAGCTGAGGAGATAAAGAGACCGCAAAGACTGAATGGACTCCTGCCTTCACAACGACAGATTGCCGATAAAGGAGACAACTAGGACCAGCCTCTTATCTGCTTTGTTATATAACTAAACGATCAGTTTAGCGGCATTGTCACCGAGCTGCTGCCTGTGGAGATATCTCAGCAGAGAGCCAGTCCCACAGGTTTGGCGCTTTCTCTCGGAAAGCTGTCTGTCTGGTTATTTGGCACCTAGCTGACATGACGCAGGACTGTCATTCTTCAACTACTAGATAGTAGACTACACCAGCGAGTAAAAGCGTATCCTACTGGAAAGCGTTTGGATAGTAAACACCCTTTAGAAGTACTTATTTTTATATTTAATATCTATGTGTGGGGATCAGTTGAATTCTTTTCTCTGGGCCTGTTCGCCCTCTCCACAGCTTCCTCGCAGCTTGTTTTGGCATATTTGCATGTGAACGAGGCGACAATCGGCCTTAATTGTGTTGCTACTGTAATGCCTTTGATCTGTAATGTTTGAAGTGCCTGTGCCAAGCGCTGGTTCTTGGGTAACTGGCGCCAGCGCTGGCCGGGGTATCAAACACATGTCAATATGAAACCACTGGAGACCATTGTGTTCTCCATCTGATTGCAGTGGGAGCTTGAGGGTTACAGGCACAAATGTGACGAGAGCGTTAGAAATGGCTCCCCAAATTTAGGTGCTGCCCACACCATCTTGTTTGTTAAATGTTGCTTTCTGCCTGGTTACTATCAGACGTCTCTTAGGGAATTATTGTTTACGCTTCCATCGTGTTAGCAAACTGGATAAGCAGGGAGCTCAGAGGCCCAGCCTGTGATTTCAAATGGAACTGTCATGAGAAATTGAGCAAATACACCTTTCCTCCTTAACAAAGCACCATAACTGTTTATGTTTTGCGCATAAAATTGTCAGAAACAGCTACTAAGTATAACTGAAAATGTACACAATTTGTTTTAACAGTCTTTCCATTTTTATTACTTTATATCGTTTATATTCATGTTTTCATTTTCTTCAGAAACTACTTAACTGAAAGTAATAAAGACCCACTTACACAAATATCAGTATCGAAATATACTTTAGTGCAGAATAATTATAATGTGCGTAATATAATTATCACTAAAGTGTGGGAAGCGGTTTGGGTTAACTGTCATAATTTAAAGAGAATTGGGCAACTTCAGATTCCATGTGCTGTAAAAGTAATAAAAAAGGGTTCCAAAATGTAACAATGTTTAATCACCTAAAGTGAAAGTTGCTAAAGCTCATACACTGTGAATCCTGACTTAATGAATCTAATGGTATTATCTAAAAGGAAAACTGAGCTGTAGCTTAGTCTACTGTCTTCACGCGCAGCAACCTGATTTAGCGCCAAAATGCCTGTTAGAAACAACATGGGTCCTTTAATGTTTGTTTTTTTCAGCTGAAATATTAACAAAATATCATCCATGTAAGCAACTATATTTATACAAGTAGCAAATGCTGAAATATCATTTTGAGTGAGGCTCCTAATTTCACTTTGAGTTCAGAGAAATGCAAGGACTCAAAACAGACTAGACGGCGCCAGGTCTTGACACACTCACAGGATATGTAAAGTCATTATCCCACAATCATCGGAATCGATCAGGCATTAACAAGGGTCCCTACATATGCAAATACGATTAGGGGCTGACCCCCAATAAAAGCCGACCGTGGCCAGCACAGGCCCTCTCAAACTTGGCGGATTTACATGTCACAGCTCCACTGTGAACATGGTGAAATACTTTTCTGTGGACTGGCTGGCCCAGAACCATCACAATAACATTCAGGGGCACTGTGCTGACATGGACACGACCCTTACCTGCAAACCTCACATTCCCTGCATGGTGCAGCCAAGCCCACCGCCCATTGGCAAAGGTTACCTGCAGATAAAGTCCAAAGCAGTTAAACGCTTCGAACACTCGGGGCCAGCGGAGAGCTGCGAGGCCGAGGACTCAACACTGTGCTCGCCACTGGATTCATCAAGCTGCACCCCACCGAGTAAGTACCCAACATCTCCAGGCTTTAAACAGCATAGTCGAGCTTTACGCAGAAGATGAGTTTGTAACGGTTTTCCTTCTTTTAGTTTGTGACGTCAGCGAGTACCTCTGCGGGTATGAGAGCGACCGGGTTTCCCCGGATAGACTCTCCGTGGACGAGGGGAACGAGGGGAGAAAAGACGCGGGACCCCAACGCCGAGTTCGCACAAAGTTTTCGTCCGAGCAGATCAAAAAACTGGAACGGATATTCATCAAACAGAAATATTTGGATTCCGGGGAGAGAGAGAAGACGGCACAAAAGCTGAACCTCACAGAAACTCAGGTGAGACGCGCCAGTAAACTCTTTGACATTTTGGATTTATGAAGACGCAGACATCTCCAATTTGCTCAGTGCTGCGGATGCTGACTGAACTGTTTTTGTTTTTTGTTGTGTCAGGTGAGGACCTGGTTTCAGAACCGAAGGATGAAGCTGAAACGGGAATTCCAAGACTATCTCACTCCCCCAGTCCCGCCGGTCATTTTTCAGCCTCTGTCTCCGGTTCAGTACCACAGCATGGCTGGACATCTACCCCATTACTCTCCTACGGGCCATCCCTTTTACTCATTACCTGTCCCGCAGTTGCTCCACCATCAGCACATGCCTCCTCACTACCCTCATCGAACAATGATACACCACCCACATTTCTACTGAGGAACTGTCACTTTAGAGACTTCTCTTTACACAAATGAGCCGAAGATGCGCAATCAAAGTTGTTTTTTTTATTTGTGTGATTTTAAATATCTGTGTACAATGAAAAGTTTTTGTATGTAATTAAAGAAACATCTATTTATTTTTAATAAATTTATCCTTTAAGCTTCAGCAGTTGACTTCTTTGTTTTTTCTATCTCTGTCCAGATTATAAGGATTGAGCTGATGATACATCTTTATTGCAGTATTAGTTCCACATAAATAGCTCATCCTGTCTTTCATCATAAAGGAGGGCGGGTCTGGAAGGACTCAATGACAAAAGGGGGCTAAAGGTCACATCGCATCACTGTATCTCCTCTGATTTGACCATATACACAAATAACAATAGATTAAATCAGGATTCCACAACGTGTCCTGGAAACCCTAAATGACGTCACTTTCTTCAATTAAAGACTGAACATGTTTGTCCCCACTACTGCACTTCAAATGCAAGGTAACGGGGAGATCATGGTTAACAATTAGTCCTAATTAGGCCTCTCATTGAAGAGTTTACACTTACCACTGGGGCTCCGACCTGGCTCCAGAGAGTCTGGAGCTTTGTGTGGCCAAGGAATCTAGAGGTTAAAACCTGATTGTGTGATGACATCTGGAGATAGTGAGCTCGATTCGAAACTAGTCTGAGATAATTCAATGAGGGGGTCGAGGGCTCCTCTTTAAACTCGTAAATTTACGACAGTTTTTTTTTTTCTCTTTTTGACATTTCAATTCATAACCCATGCTGTGTAAGAACGAAGGAATTCACTGGTTGATATAAACGTGCTATAAATGCTCAAATGTTTTGAATTAAGCTCGGCAAAAATGCAAAACAACAACCTGCAGGTTCCCTGCTGTGTGAGGTTTCAAGCTGGCCCGAGGCAAACATCTCAGTCAGCAAAGATCAAAGAAACTTTCTCACTTTCTGTCGATGTTTTCTGACTACAGTCACACACACACTCACCCGGTCCCACCCTCACAAAGGCATCATCACCAGGTTGCTCAATGCGCATACAACATGCGCTAAAGAGCCACCTACACCCTTGATCACCTGAAAAAATATAACAATATATGTGTGTGTGTGTGTGTGTGTGTGTGTGTGTGTGTGTGTGTGTGTGTGTGTGTGTGTGTGTGTGTGTGTGTGTGTGTGTGTGTGTGTGTGTGTGTGTGTTTTGATGGTTGATAAGTTGATGGTGGTGGTGGTGGGTAGTTGATGGAAACATTGCGTAACTGTATGTATTTTTCTTCTTGACCGAAGGCGGTTAAACAAGTCACACCTCCCACATTTATAGTTATTCTCATCGCATTTAGTGGCGGATACAGACATGATACTCTTTATGCAGACATCATTCAGTTTGAAATGCCAGGTAAATGAGAGTCAGACTCAGTGGCGCCAGGGCATCCCAGCACGACCTGAGAAAAAGTAGAATCCTGCCTCTATTAACCTCAATTACAACCGCCATCAAGTCCCCATTGTTCCTGTGAGATCGCTTTGCATATGCAAACAAAGAAGTGTGCCCCTCCTATATAGCGGCCAAGAGTCATCCATACAAACACATACTGCTTCAACCGCTGCTTCTATCCACTATGGCTAACTTTTCTGTTGAGTGCCTTGCCAGGAGTTATTATGAGGAGATGACTCCACGGACAAAGGATGCCGCGCTTCATTCGCGAGATCTCAGTGAAATCGTGGAATTTACAAAGGAATCAAGAAGTCGATACTCTGCAACATCGCCAAACAGTAAGTTCACAGATAAACCTTTTGTTTTAAGAGCTGCTGTTGATAGGGCCTTTGTGTGCGTATTGATTTTTGACTAAATGAATTCAACTTCTCATCTTTCTCCCCCCAGACAGATGCGACAACTCTTCTGGGTCCGAGAGTGAAGTGGGAGATGACAGCGAGGGGGAGGCCACCCAGCAGAGGAGACTCAGGACCAAGTTCACATCCGAACAAGTTAGCAAACTGGAGCATACTTTCAGCAAGCAGAAATACCTGGGTGCTACGCAGCGGAGGAAAATCGCCGAGGAGCTGAATCTTTCTGAAACCCAAGTATGTTACATGCATGCTTTCCTCAAGGCCTCCTCGGTGGCACTGCAAAGCTTTCCACAAGCACAAGCTGACAAAGACTTTTATTACTATGTTGCCATCTAGTTACCCGATGTAATTCAGTAAATGTAAATCTGTTTCAAAGACTATATAAACATCATAAAAAGTCCCTTTGCTTTGTGTTTGTGCGTAAAGGATAGTACCTTATGGCCTTTTTTGCATCTCACAGGTGAAAACGTGGTTCCAGAACAGGAGGATGAAACTAAAAAGGGAGGTCCAGGACAGAAGGACGGAGTTCCTGACAGTGCAGACCTCTCTTCTGCCTCCGATGCTGTTTCAGCACCCATTCCTCACCGGACAGCTCCCCGCCAGCTGCGGCTTCTACCCGCAACTGCACCCGCTCCCCGCACCTCTGCACCATCACCCCTCCCACCCCGTTCTTCTGCCGCCGCCAAACTACTTCTGAGCTCCCAGAACTTTTATCCCCCAAATTCCTGTCTAGAATCTAGATATTCCTCCCCTCATTGCTCTCTCTAAAAGAGAGATTTTAAAAGTTGTGAATATAATTGCTTTTATTATGTCTGAAGCACTGCACTGGGTATGTTTTGATGTTGTAAGTATCATTCAAATAATGGAAATAAACTTGCTGCAAGTTTTTATGGTTTATGGCAAAAATAAAACAGAATTAAAGTCTTTAAACTGCTTGTGATGGGTTTCTTTCTGTTTTCGACTTCAGGTTCATAGATCGTCATTTTACATGCGCACACTTAAACAAGTAAAACACAAACCACGACCTTAAACATTCACATAGATTTTGGGCACATTTATGTAACATTTTAGAAGAATGTAAAATCATGAATAAAAGTTTGTAAATGAGAAGAGAGGTTAAAGGTTTGGCTAAACCCTGATAGATATCCGGGGGAGGGGTGAGACAGTGTGTCGTGTAGAAGCTGTTGTTTTCAGTTTGGATGAAAAGCACACAATAACAAAATGGTTGAATGTCACACAATTCAACCATCCTGTGTGTTGCCATTTATTTCAACAGGAACAAAGTGTGCAGTTCAGTGCGCTTCTCCTCATCATACTGCAGTGTTTCTATCAGTGCCCCTCTCTCACTCCCCTTCTCTCCTGGTTTCCCAGCCTTGACAAGCAGCTGGGCAGTTTTCTAACATCCTCGTTGATACAGAACATGTAGCGACAATGACAGGCCCGTCTGTCTTCTCCGTCTTGTAAATGCAACGACGTGAAGTTGTTGTCCCCTGCTTTTGCCGCTGGCATTGCTCCACGCTGAGCCTGTCCTCCGCTGGTTGTAGATTTTACTTGTTCAAAGGGATATCAGAGCGGATCTAACCGCGAGATCATTGAGCTTCATTGAGATCTATTGTATGACCATTCAGCTGTTCGCACTTACTTGAAAGACAGAGGGAAGGCGCCACTGAGTCTGCCAAAGGTGTATATTGGCTCACCTTAAAGTCATTAGTTGGCTCCAGCTAAATACAGTTAGGTCCATAAGTATTTGGACAGGGGCAGTTTTTTGCAGTTTGGCCTCTGTACGTCACCACAGCGGATTTGAAATCAGGCAACCAAAATGTGATTGAAGGGCAGACTTTGAGCTTTAAGGCAGAACTGTTCAAGAAAGACGTAGTTTTTTTGTCCACAGGACCCCATTTCTAGAGGTTCAGAACTCATGGGACCAACTAGCATTATTTTAAATATGTGACGATGTGTTTCATACATGGATGAAGATGCTTTGGAGTCTGTAACTGCCTGAAGTCTGTCCATGGAACTCACTGAATGCTGTTTTTTCTTCCTTCATATGCTCGGCAATAGGCCTTTGCTGCAGTTGTTTCTGTGGCTTCAGTTTTGTCTTCAGTAACTAAAAAGCATGATCTGTTAGACTGAGATCAGGTGGCTGACTTAATTGTTGGAGAATATCAAATATTTATTTGCATTAAGAAACTCGTGAGTTGCTTTTGCAGTAATCTTTGGGTTTTTATCCATTTACTGCTGTCTGATTCGTTTAGCAGTATTTGCTTGTATCTGAGCAGAGACTATAGCCATTCAGAATAAACACCAGTGGCAGCCCTATGTCATAACAATGTGTCCACCATGTTGAACAGATGGTGTGCTTCCAATCATGAGCCACGTTTTCTTCTCTATACTTTGCTAATAATGGGAAGTTAATCTCTCCTGATCTGAACTCTTTGAGATGTTTTCTGGTAAACTAATCTATAATCTATCATCTGAACTCTAGAATCTACTCCTCATATTTAAAAGAAACTCCTGGTGATCAGACTCGTGATGTATGTGGATTATTGGTTGGCTCTACATTCAGCAGCACACAGGATTTTCTTAGTTATTTGGCAGGGCCTAAAGCCAGCGCACACAAACAATCACCAAAGAAAATAAATGCTGTCATTCCGCACCAGGAGGCACAATTATGAAAAAAGAGATGATTAGACCTGCAAGCATCAGTAACTAGAATAATGAGAAGGACACATTCATTTAAAGGCTTACTGGACCGCTATTTATGCTGTGCCTCTGTTCAGTCCTCCAGACAGAGGAACGCCTCGGTCTGCAGCATTAGCAGGGATAGTTCCTAGTTGAGACATCGACATCAATCAATGATCCATTGTGAGAGGGCAAAGATGTGGTGAATTAAATGACAATGAGTGTTTCCCTGATACCTTTTGAAAAAGGTGAGTAAATAGGTGAAGAGGTGTCAACAGTGGCTGCAGATAGACTGATAAGAGTCCTATTAATGCATTTATCCAAGAACTCCAGCTAATTTTACCCGCTTCCCTAAACCTACACAAGAAACAGCTACTTTTACACTAAAAGAACAACTTTTTACTAATGAAATGTGCTTGACACACGATTTAAAAATGGGAGATCAGTAGTTATCAACCTTTCTGGTTTGTAACCCCTTTGAAAAATACCAAGGGTTCATAATTATTAGTTTTTAAGTAAAGCTTTAAAAAAAGGTCAAAATGTTTCATTTAATTTTCTTTAAGTTTGAGGCCAAGGAGGTGAAGCCTATCATTATTACAGTGCTTCACAGCTTAACACATTCCAAAATAAAAGCAAAAACGTTTGATGCACATACTTAAAAAAAACCCCCTCTTATATGCTTAATTATGTCATGACCCAGATTTTGACTCTCATGAATGGCACCAGCCCCTAGAAATCACATTTTTTGCCTTTTAAAGTTCACTACATTTACAGTGAAGTGTCCATGTGATGCTGTGGGTGGCATTTAGATGGCATGGTCTGGCTCTATCAGCCCCAGCACTTTACAGGGCAGCACTACAGCGAATCGATTCAGTGCCACTATGCTATGAGCAAACATTCCTCTCTGATGGACGAGCTTGCTTCCATCCACTGAGTAAGAAGGGCCGTTCAGCAGTTTGATTAGCATGAATTGGTTGTGGCCTTCACATTCTACAAATCTCCACTGCGGCGAGCGCCTATAGGAGATTTTTGATTGACACATTAGACAGTTCTCTCCACTGCCAGCATCAATACATGCAATGACAGAAAATATTTTGGAATAATCAATGCCTTGGAGCACTAAAACTATGCTGTTACCACTTGGTCAAATGACACTTTCAGCCCTTTTTGGCTTGTGACCTCTTACAAAAAAGTAATAAAAAGCACTATAGTTATAGATATAGTAAAGAGCAACCCTCCTCCATCAAAATCTTTCAGGTTATTTTATTAAAATATCCACTTTCTCGTGTCTCTGAGGAAATCCCCGTATGAGTGTCTTCTTTTTCTCCCTGCTCATTTGATCTATCTCAGACTTGGCAGGTATATTGTTAAAGACCGGACTGTTAATTATTTTACGGCCCCTTTGATTTTTATGACCCTTTTAGTGGGCCTGTGAACCACTGCACAACACCACCTAATTGTATTTATAGTCAAAACAAGTTCCACCTCAACCAGAGAAATGCTATTTTGCTTTTTTTTGCTACCTTTTAATGTTTTGAAGAGTGAAAATGTAACTTTAAAAAAGCAAAAATGATGGAAAGATTTATAAAAAGCACAAAAAGGTCCTCTTTTATCGCATGAAATCAGCAATACTGAGATTTTATGAGCTCATGTCATTTGTGCCACAAAAAACATGACTAGTTATTATTATGTAAAATTCTGTACTGTATGATTTAAGTGTCCAATACCACAAAAACGTACAGTGCATGCAAATACTTCAAATCCAATGATTAATGGCCCAACTTTCTTTATTCAGCAAATATTCAGGGCAAACACACATGAACAATAATGTCACAGAAATGCAATAAAACACATATGATTAAGATCAAATTTGCGCTTTAATAAATAAATCAATAATAATCAGAGGGGCATAAAAATACCTGAATCCAGTGTATCACAGTCTGTGCTTTGCAGATTTTCTTTGTAAGCCCAAGACAGGCTGGAATTCCAATGTATGTGTGTGTGTGAGAGTGAGTGTGCGAATGCACACTTTGAGGTCAGCTGTCATGCGGAGAAGATGATGAAATGGCTGTCTGCCTGGTGGAATACCTCTGCAGCCCCATTTTCCCATGCCTTATGCCTCTTTAAAGTTAAATCTCAAAGAAGTATGTGCATAGGAAAAAGGAACAGCGAGTGCAACTAGCCCCACTGCCCCGATTCTGGACACTGGAACCTGGAGGGCAGGGATGACAAAAGGCATAAAGATGCATGACTGGATGCACAACACAAGAAATGACTCTTATATTCTTCTCCTGTCTGACTGGCTAAAATTGCATTACGTCCAGGTATTAAAAATACTGTAATATCAAAATAAAATGCACATACAGCAGTCATACACTTTATAGTTGCCAAGATGTAGTTTTAATTAAAGGATTAAGTTTATAAAATGCGTGGAAGGCGTGAAGAGGACTTACCCCGTATAGATCTCCATGCATGTCTCCCAGGAAAGCACCTCCTGTTGGCCATTTATCCCTCCACAGGGACCTTGAAGATGTTTAACAAAGACAGAGTAGCTGTTGTGCATGCTCACTCAGCACTTCTCCTCCCTCTTTGGTTTCAAGCCATGGCGACACATCTGGGAAGATGCCTGCAGACACTGAAAAACAAACAAACAAACAAATTCTACAGTACAGTGGCATACAAAGGTTGGTTTCTTCTGCAAAAATACTTTGTCTTGTTTTGCTCCAAATCTTTCAGCTACGAGTGAACTTGTTACAGTTATTATCTCCTATCTGACACAAGCTGGAAGAAGGGAAATATTCAGGACGCCCTGTTCCTGATGGTGGAAAAGTTTCTTATCTGTTCAGGGGGTTTTTTTTCGTTCTCTTTCCCTCTCCCAGAAGAGAGGCCCCCGTGCTTTTTAGAACTCAAGGTCTCTAGACAAGGACTCTCAGGGTGTGCTGAAGTGAGACACTGACGCACACACACACACGTGCACAGGTTGTGTGGTGTGTAGCTGAGGGAGTGTTATGGCAT